GAAACTGATGGTTCCTTGATGCACGAGACCTCCTTGCACAGCCCAGGCCAAATGCATGAAATTCTGGATCTCTAAGAGTATTGCACAAGTCCGTCATGTCCAGCTTTTGAAGAAACACTGCCTGGCTGCAGCTTCTGCTAACACAAAAGACTCAAGCTATTCCTCCTGCTGATGGTGCACATGTGATCTATTTGTTCACATGCAAATTCTCTAAGGGGGACGAGTCTGTGACCAGAGAGGAGCCAAGCCGCTGGTTAACTGGTCAGCCAGTCAGGTTCTTTCTTAATTTTGAGGTAGCAAATGGTATCAGGTCATTTTGTTTGTTTGCTTGTTTTGGTTTTTATTTTATTTTTTACCCTTACTGGGGATCGAACTCACAACCGCCTGCTCACAAGGCAGGTGCTTATGCCACTGAGCTAAATCCCCAGCCTGATTTTTTAATTCAAGAAAACACACACTCTGCTTTTTTTTTTCTTTTCTCCTTAAATAAAATAAAAATAAATAAATAAATAAATAAAAAACTAGAAGGCACACGTGTGTGTTCAGAGCACAAAGGATCCAGAGGGGTTGGCACCTGGGGAGAGATGTTCACTTGTCACTAGAATGCCCAGCCCAGGTTCTGAGCAACTCTTTATCCTCCATGAGCATCACTCTCCACGGATTTCTGAGTTGTTGGCAGAGTCCTGCTGTCCATTTGGTCAAGTGTATCCAGGGAGCAGGCCTCTGCTAGAGGAAGCTGAAATGCACCTCTGTTTCTTGAAATCATAGGAGCTGAACTAATCACACCAGGTTTTCCCAAAATGTCTTTGGGGACCATCGGGCTGCAGCTCCCCAGGGAGATGCAAAGGCCCAGCAATGCTGTTCTGTGCTGTGCTTTACTGGACTCGTTTCCTCTCTCATCTCCCGGAGCAGCAGGACCAGAATCAGAGAGGTCGATCCCAGCTCACCGTTTCTCCTTTCTCCCCTGCCATGCCTGCAGAGACCAGCCTCCATCGGGCGCTGGCCTGATATTCCGTCTAACATTGCAATGCCCTCAGCAAGGCTGAGGTGCAAAGTGGTGGCAGGGATGGAGGCCTCAGCCCTGCTGTCTCAGGAAGTATTTTATAGGGCCAGAGAAACGTCTGTTTTCAGGGACGTGTTTTGTTTCTTGATTTTTAAAGCAGTGACTTCACCCAGGAAAGCGCAGGTTCCTTTCTCCTTCAAGCACCTGTGTAGGACCTGACTCTCTTCTATCTCCTGATAATTTTCCTCACTGCAAATGACTCTTGTTTTCAGGCTCAGATACAACAAAAACTTTTAACAGAATCCCGATCTGAAGCAATATGGAAGGAAAAAAAAACCTGCTCTCACAGATGTATTTCTTCCCATGAGTAAAATACACTCAGACTGCACTTTAAAAGAATACCACACTTTTGTCCTTAAACCACGGAAATAAAGATTGTAGTCTCCTTGAGAATTGTCATTAGTCTCACCATTATAGCCCTCGTGTCTCAATAGATGCAGTCTAGTACTCAAAAAAACGAGTTTGCTAAATAAGCAAATCAGTAAGCTGGTGTTTATTTGCATTGTGGCCAACTGCACTGCTTCAGAATCAGTCCCAGGTACAGATAATCCAGAGACTCCGCTGGTCTAGACCCAAAACGTTGAGCACCCAGGAAGGGACCAGCATCTCGATGGGTCACATAACCACAACAACCTCTACCACTCTGGCTTTTTGCTTCTCCAGATTGATTCTAAAGAATTAAAGCTAACAGACCAAGGGCCTGAGTTTCCTCCTGTTTCATGTGAGGATGGAATTAGACTTGCTGATCTAAGTCATACATCTAGGAGTCACTTTCCCGTCACTGACTCTCACAGTTTAAGTAACCAGGCTGTTTGGTTCATGGTTTCAAAGGGCTCAGTCCACAGTCAGCTGACTCCATGGCAGAAAAGGCTCAGCAGAAGGGCACGGGGGGGAGGGGAGAGAGCTGTTCCACCCACTGTGGTCAGCAGCAGAGAGAGCAGCAGCTGGGGACAAGGATCCACTCTCCCTGTCACACCCCAGTGACCCACGTCCTTCAACCAGGCCCCAGCACCTAAGGCCACTCAGCTCGGAACTCACCAGTGGCTGAATCCACTCATGAGTACAGCACCCCACGATCACCTTCTACAAAGCCCACCCCTGAAGAGAAGAGACTTTGGGGGCCTTTTAGGTCTAAACAGTAACAGTATGTTTTGCTCTGTGTAGCCTCTCTCACAACCTGAAAGTAAGTATTAAAATCTAAAGCATCTTTTTTTCTGTAAAGATGTTACAGTCTCTAGGAAGTGTTCATGGAGCTGCAGAGACCCACTGCTCTAAGGTTTCTTACATTACTGCCCCCTTTTCCTCTCCTCTCTGCTCCTCTCCAGAAATAACAGGTTATGTTTGCTTATTTCAAATTCAACCATGACATTTTCAAGGAAAAAAAAATCCTTGAAGCTTGGGTGAAGCCTGAAGCTGGCTTCACGCTCCTGAAGGTTTATTCCCATCAGCGCGAGGACCTTTGCTTCCCTCTTTACATTTAGGCACCGTGCCGAACGCAAGAAAGTCAGTAGGGAATAGGGAACAGAATTCTAAGGTGCAGAAAGATGCAGAAAAGAAGACGGAAACTTCAGCATTAGATGCAAGGCAACGATAGGGAAACACAAGTGGGAAAGTGTCCCGCAGGCGCCCAGCACAGGGTGGGGAGCTGCCCCTTCCCAGTGAGAGATTTTTAAACTGAGGCCTAAAGGTAACTGTGAACCGGGGCGGGGGAAGCGTGGGTAAGTCTGGCTGCATCGCGGGCTGGACTATTCCCTTACGACTCCAATCTGTTTTCCCTGAGGCCGAAATTATCTACACAATGTTGTATCACATTTTCAAGTCTGTGTGAGGGAAATTTCAATGTTATTTATTCCTTGTAGAAAAAACTTATGAAACCTGCTGGTGCTTTTTAAATATATTTTAAAAGCAGGTTCTAAGGCTACCTACATTAGCTGTTACCAACAACTATTTTCACTGTACTGTAGAAGTTATTTTAATTCTAATGTATGTGCTTTGTGCTTTTTTCTCTTTCCTTTATCCACTCAGTATCTACAGAGCACCTTTATTGTCCTGAAGATTGAATACAGTAATTCAATGTTTTCGAAACAGTGCTTTAGACAAGGGTATTCTAGAACTGTTAATCAAACTAAAAACTTACGAATGTACTAACCTCTAAATCTTCACCAGTACAATATTTAATAAAAGGTAGAAAACAGGATTGGGGTTTTTCTAAGAAATAATGAAACATCAGGTGATATTTCAGATGGTTTAAAGATGCCATATGAATCTTATTTTCTGAGTCACATTAAGAGGTCAACAACTTATAAAGTAGGCGATTACATATATATTCCAGCAGATATTTTTTATTTACTGAGTAACTGAATCTACAGGAGCTGTAGTTTCCTCATTGTGAAAATGAGTTCATTCATCCCCAACAGCGGGTTACCGCGGGCCTACCGCATGCTAGCCATCAGCAAAGGCCTTGGGAACCCAGGAAGAAGCAAAACGGCTCCAAGTCCTCTGTACCTGGTTCTTGAAGTCTAACAGACAAGCCCTTGTTCATGAACTTTGGGGAATACTGGGTGTGATGCGGTGGAAAGTGTTCTGAAACTTGCCAAGCCCCACGTAAGCCCAGGAACCCTGCACTCAGAGGTCTCACCCCTCTGCGTCCCCCGAGGTCCCCCCACAGGTCTTCGGTGGTGACTTGAAGGGACGCAGGTGCATTCAGCACCACAGTAAGCTCTAGAGGCCACTTTCTATTCACTCCATCTCATCTGTTCTTTCCTACACAGTGATTTGTGAAATAACTTAATGATTTACGGAAATTCACGATTTAATAAAATGCATCATATAAAACACTGTAAGAGTTTACTACAGTAGATAATATTTACTAACCTTGCACACCTGTCACAGGTACTGTACTGTTCTTAGTCAAATGCAGAAAATAAAACATTGCTATACTTTATTATTGCAGTCTCTCAAAATAACCACACAGTACATCACCATATGTATTGCTTTGAAGATAAGTATCTGCATGGCTTTTAATGACTTCATGGTGTTCTTGTATCAGTATTAATAGTGCTGGTTGACATCCTTGTAGTTAACTCTTTGAATATATTATTTCTTCAAGATCAAATCTTTGTATTTTTCTATAGGAATAAAATGATCATGAAATAGCTTAATTTAAAAGCTTTGTGGGGCCAGGGATTTAGCTCAGTGGCATATGCGCTCGCCTGGCAAGTGCGAGGTCCTGAATTCGATCCCCGGTACCAAAAAATAAAAAATAAAAGTAAAATAATAAAAACTTTGTGTACTGGCACTTTCAGAATTCCCAAAAAATGCTTTAATATTTTCTTGTTTTTCAAATTTTTTAAAAAGTTTACATCCACAAAAGAGTAAGGACGGTTGTGTTTTTCTATTTGGAAAGCATCACAGGAGATACACTTAATTGCCTTTATAACTGATCTGATAATGAAAAAGAAGAGCGTTTGAAGAGTGTGCTCACTGCACCGGAGCATAAATGGAAACAAGATTTCAGGGTTAGTCCTTGTGTGACTAGAGAATTTAATCATGATTTCTTTACCTCAAAGATTATTAAATCCAGGGGCTGGGGATTTAGCTCAGCGGCATAAGCACCTGCCTTGCAAGCAGGCAGTCCTGAGTTCGATCCCTGGTACCGATAAAAACAAAAAAGACCAAAAAAAAGATTATTAAATCTGGGTTTGGCTTTCTGGAACTTCAGGAAGATACAGCAATTTGAGGAACAAATACTGTTTCTGAATGGCAACACTTTCTATTCTCCCAGAAATAAATTCTACAAATGTAAAAGGGCATCTTAAGTAGCAAACACATTAAAACATCTTGAGTACGCAAGTCCCATATAAATCAGGTAATCAGACTGTATTTAGAAATACACCAAAATTAGAAATACACCAAAAAAAGCAAACTGAGACCTTGGTTTCTATTTAAACTTTAATACTTGAGAAAATGTATGTTAAAACTGGATACAAATATTACTGGCACAAGTAAAGAATGAGACACAAATGTGGATTTGAGTAGACTCAGTTTGGAGGCCAGGATGTAAGAATGCATCTAACAACCTGCTACTGAAAGCCTTTAAAAATGACAAGATTTTAAAGCAGCTCGAGATGAAGAGGCTGCAGAAGAAATGATATTCTTTTCCCCTTTAAAAATTCCTCTGCTATAGAGAATTGTAGACTCATTATAGAGAGGAAAGTTCAAAGTCACTTAATTTAGCAAGCTATTTTGAAGACACCGGCCTTAAAGATCTACTGGAAACCTGAAATTTGTAAAAATAATCAATATTCCCTTTTCCTCTGAAGTTCTATATATTAATCACATTAAAAAAATATAGAAAAAATAAGAACTCCACATTATTTCTTCTTCCAGGCACTTCAGTAATTTAATACTTGTTTTATTAAACATGAAAAAAGAATGTATAAAAACTGCACTATTAAGAAGTGAAATCCCCACTTCAACAATGCAAAATCTACTTTAAAAATTGTGATTAGAAACACTAGCACTTTAGGAAAATGTCAAAATATATTTGAAGAAATTGTCTTTCAGGTATTGTTTCTTCCTACAACACCTATATAAAGTAAGGTATAAAGGTAAGCTTCATAGAAACATTCACCCAACATGAATACAATTGGAGAAATTCCCTCTTACTAAAGAACTGATTTACAAGTTGATTTTCAGCTTTTCAAATAAGCAGTTCTTTGATTAACCCTGGCACCCGTGCTAGGAACATGTGGGACACTTTTATTTCTGCTTCCTCTGACCAAACTTAAGTGTTTACATATTGTAAAACCTACTTGAACCCACAGGCCAGCTACAGTATCATTTTTGTTTCTTTTCCTTTTAAGTTTTAAACAATACTAACATACAAATGTTACTTGATCGCAGAATAAACCTCATAATTCTTCCTCCTTAAAAGGTGCATGAAATATTTTTGATTACTCAAAAAGTGAGGCCCCTACTTTTCTCTTTAGCATTGATTTTACTTCCCAAAGACATATATTCTCTCAATGTCCAAATCAATACAGGAAGTAAACCAAATATCTGATGACTCCATGAGATGCATCCATTACACCAAAACTAGCCTATGTCTTTGATTTTTAACAGAATGTTAGAAACCAACTTAAGATGCTTACTTTGTACATTTGTGTAAGCTGTTGTTCTCCTTTAGAAAATATAGGTGAGTTTAAAACAAACACAAATCTCAATATTGAACATACAACTTGTGCTAAGTGACAACACTGTGAAGTTACTCAAAACACCCTTAGCTTCTCAAAGTACATTAATAATATTTAAATAGTCCCAGTCCTTTAAATAAATTATTTACAAGGATCCTCCTGGATGCACAGCGCCTGCCGTCACAGGACCCGGAGGTGTTTCCTGAGCATCCCTGCGGCAGACGAGCCGTCTACGGCCACGGGAAAGCAAGGCAGCATAACTTTATTACAGAAAATTAACAGAGCTGAAAGCATCTAAAACTGGTATTATACAACCCAAAGAAAAATAACCATAGAATTTTTATAGAATATCACTTTAAGATTCTATTACATCTTAATTTTAAAATTGTTAAAACATAATTTTGATCTTAAGCGCATTATTTTAATGTAAAAATTCGTATCTGCTCTCATAGAAAATTAATTTAAATATTTCATTTTGCTAAAAGCTACTGAGTTTTCCCTGCCACATTGCACAAAATCCATCTCAGCGTGTAAGGTGTCTCAATGTTCACAGGTAGTGTATCAAAATCTGATTCTTTTACTAAATTTCAGCTTATGTTTCAATAAATTGTTATCAAAAGTAACAAAATATTATCATTATTAATATAAGCCAGGTTTTAGAAGATCAGTGCCTCGTGATTTACAACACTTAGACTTAATGAAACGTGTACTGAACTAATGCCACGCCGGTCAGCAGCAGCCACTGGTGCACAGTCTTGCTGGACACCAGGAAATTGTATTAGTTGCCTTTTGTAGGCTAAGTGAAACTGTTGCTTTTTTTTTTTTTTTTTGCTAAAATGCAACTTATATTATTAAAAGCACCACTGTTACTGGGCTGGTGTGTAACCACCATACTTCACACCTATTAGAAAATAAAGCAAGCATAACTGTGATTCCAGTAGTGTTACTCGACTTTTGCACTCCCCTGGAGGGCAGACATGCACAAACCCGCTCCGGACAGAGCCACAGAGGTGCCCTCACACAGTGAGCTGCCCTCGGAGGGGCCGCACACTAACCCTGGCGCAGCCCTCCCCCGGCCCCCCGGGCCACACTCGCATCTGCTCCCCTTTGGACAAACACGAACAAAATAAACCTTTAACACGTGAAGCCACCCCGCCGCTCCTTTGCCATCTCTTAAAATGACACAAACCTATTTATTTTCTAGGTTTTTTACTCCCAGTCATAACAAAATAGTGGTCCCCAGCTTCCTTTGTCTTTGGGGTGAGTTTCTGGTCCCCCCTCTCTGCTGCCGTGGATGTGGGAGGCTTCCTGGGTGCGGCGGGGGCCCTGCCACCCCGTGGAGCCCCTTTGGCTGAGTGCGGGCCCCTGGTGGCCATCTGTGCCGACTTAGTCTGTGCGGTCTGTGTCCTGGCGGAAGTCTGAGGAACGCTCACGATGGACAGAGGGGTGCGGCCGGCAGGCTTCGAGGAGCCGGGCGCTGTCTTCAGGGACGTGCTTTTATTGGGAGGCGGCTTTTTGGCAACTGGAGCTGTGCTCTTATCCTCTGGGTCCTGGGCAGCTCTGGCAGGAAAAACGGAGGCTACGGAAAGCGGCTGCTTTAAACCCAAGGCCGACTTAGGTTTCTGTGGGGTCGCCCCGGCCCGCGGGGCTCCTGGACCTGCAGCTGTGCTCTGGGAGCTGGGCTTTGTCCTTTTCGCAGGGGACTGGAGAGGAGTTTTGGGCACCGCGCACAGCTTTGCTTTAGGCACCTTTGGGCACTTCGATGACAAACCTACAGGGGCATCACGCCTGCAAGACACAGGGCTGTGTTTCAAGTGCTTGGGTTCTGCTGCTCTAGGACATTTACCTGGCGAAGGTGCAGAGGCGGGCAGATCCCCTGCGCGCTGGGTCAGAAGAGCCTGGGCCTTAGGCGTCCTGGAGGCGACCCTGCATCTCCTCACTGGCCCGGGAGCGCCGGGGCTGGTCCTTGATAAGGTGAGTGGGCAAGCGCTTCTGCCTACTGGACTTGAAGGAGCGGGGGAGGACGACACCTGATCAGAAGCAGCAAGTGGTTTTCTCCTTGCACCCTTGCAAGACTTGAGTGTGGGCTGAGAGGGTGCGGCTGGAGGAGCTGGACACTTGGGTCGGCCCAAGGTGGCACCCGCGTGCCCTCTGAGTGCAGCTGCCGGCCCCAGTGCACCCAGCACACGCCCGGGCTTCTCCTTCCCCTTGGGGATACTGGCTGGCACCCCAGGCTTTAAACTCTGTTTCTGAAACTCATCCACCGCTGACAGAGGATTCATGTCAGGAGGCTGAGGCGTTCTGGCCGGGGAGTCTGGGATGCTTTCGTTAGAAACTCCTTTTTGAAATGCTAGAATTTTTTGTTCCAGTGTAGCAAACTGTAATATTCGACAGGGATCATACTTCAGCAAAAAGCCTTGAAGAGTATCCCAGCCTCCACCGACGCGGACCATGACGTGCTTCCCGTGCAGCATCTGTCCCCAAAGAAAGGAAAGGACACATCAGAAGAGCAAGGAGAACAGCAGTTAGCAGTCACAGAGTCACAACGTGTGATGTCCGCGATCTGGGAAATGAGAATCTGCCAACACCTTTGTTAGAAATGACAGTCTGTTTCTTATAGTCCTATACTTAAGGGGTATTTCATTTTGTGATGAGCTACAGAAATCCTTCAATTTGTAATGAAAATGTTTACATCCAAAAAATCCACTTTAGTAATACACAAAATTGCAAGAGTTACATCGTTCAGTGTTGACCACGGAAGGAAGGAAAAGAGGTAGAGAAAAGGAAGGGGAACCTCTTAACCAAGAAAACAGTGATCAGAGAAGGAAATGTAAGCAACTACACTAAGTTACATTTTGCAACTTAATGAGTTTTCACATGTACTGTAACAATTTAATGTTTAAAACCCGTTGATAGAACTTATGATAGTCCTTCCTCGGCTCAGAGCTTCAGGCCTCTGGACCTGGCCTCAATGCACAGGGCAGCTCCCAGCCCAGACGGCACAGCCAGCTGACCTCGGCCGTCCTCCAGCCTGGCTGCAAACTGGAGGCTCAGTGTCACCCGGGCACCATCACCACGTCACAGCCACACTGCCTTAAGGAGGAACCTCAGGAAAAGAGAACTGGGCCGCGGGCGCTTCCTGTGAGCTGGACGGGGCAGCATCGTCACGGTGAATCAGGAATTAAAGGAAAATGTGACCAAATTAAGAATAACTAGCTCGCTATGAGAAGTGGGAACAACGCTGAGCAGTGACACGTCAGCCTCCTCGTGAGCAGGGCACCCGGTGACCGGCAGCAGGGGCAGCAGGGCACCCGGTGACCGGCAGCAGGGGCAGCGGCGGTGAGCGTGGGCGCAGCCCCAGCGCACTCAGTCCTGGGGGCGGGCCTCGCTAGAGGCCCCATGGGGCATCTTCCAGGTGGCAGTGGTTCTGTTTTGTTCTCTTACTATCTGTACTTATTAGGCATTCATTTCATTTTTCTTCTTACGGTAATACGGAAAACTTATTCCTTTCATTTTAGCAGTGAAATATCCTGGGGCCAGGGGTCTAGCTCAGCGGGCACAAGCGCCTGCCTGGCAAGCACCAGCTTGCAAGTTCCCTCCTGGTACCAAAACCAAAACGAAGCACCCTAAGCAGTAACTATGACGTCTCCTGACACAGACACAGACGCCCCAGGGACCTGTGAGAGGAGCCCCAGCTGTTTTCGGGCTCACTGTTACAAATACTCACTGAGCTCACCGTATACGCATGAAACCAAGTTCTTCGTACTTCTGTTGGGACATTTTCGGTAACAGTAGCATCCTCTGCTCCCACGTTTAGACAAAAGCGGGCCAGAAGTGGGAAGCAGGCACAGCAGTCCCCACAGCGCCTCACAGACAGGGCTGAGTGCCCAGCTGGGCACAGTGACTCACCCGTATAAAGAGTATTTTATCCCCCAGTCGGTAGCGGCCTTCAGATAAGTACTCAATAGAAAATCGATGAGAACAGCTGCACGGAGGGTCTTCAGCAATGTGTTTAACCTAAGATTAAAAATCAACAGCGAAATTTGGTGCTTCCTATAAAAACACTTTAAAGTTAAAATGTGAAGTTGTTTGATAATGACAAAAATAAAGCTCAAAGATAAAAATGCAAAGGTAATTCACTGCTTTGTGTTTCTTCTCCTTCACTCGTTGAATATCGAAATGAACCACTGAGAATCTCGCCGAAACCCCCCCAGCAGGGAAGGCATCTGCTCCCCGCGCTCCACCCCCACAACCTGGGCACGCAGTTCGCGCATGCGCACGACGGCAGTGCGGCCTAGACAGGCGTCAGCTGAGCTGTAGGACACGCACGCGATCTCTGCACACCCACCCGAAGTCCTGAATTCGTAACAGTTCTGTCAAGTCAGAGACTGGCCAGCCAGATCAAGACTAGGAAATTTCCTTTAATTTTGTGGGGAAGACATCTAGATGTGTTCAAAGTTATTGTTAAGCAGATAGGCATTCATACGCATTCACCCCTGAGCCGTAAAATTCTTCAAAATTTCAACTTGAAGAAGCGTTTGCTAAAGTATTTGTTCTGTTCCAACAGCCTGCTAAAGTTACAGAAGAAACCCTACTTCTGTATCTCAGCAATAAATTTTTAAAAACAAAAATTCACAGTAGATTATCATAAATAAAGGAATCTGACAATTCTGTATTTTTAAAAGTAGAAATCATAATAAAGTGACATGTTTTCTGAAATATGTTTATCTGGAAAAATTCACATATTAGCCATGATAGAAACTATTTGACTTTTCCATAAAATTGTATTTCTGAAAAAGCAAGATCATGTGTATTTTTCTCAACTGCTGTCATACAGACTAAATCTAAAAATTAATTAAAGTTAGGCAGGTGGAAAAAAAGTCTCTTCAAAAATGCTCAATTTAGTTGAGCACAAAGAGAAATTTATTCCATTGTCTTATTATCTATCCACAATAAACGGACAATTGTGGATGTTGGACAAGGATCAATAATTTACTTCCCTATATTGTTGATTTAACAAGATAATGTACTTACAAACAAGTAGAACTGATTTTGTAAAGATCTTCTTGTTCACAGTCTGCATATCTGTGCACACTCATATGCACATTCAAACACAAACACACACACCATACACTTCAAACGGTTTAAAAATAAAGTTAGATCGGGTAGCATCTACAGCTGCTGGAATGATGTTTATACCTACGCTAACTAAAACAACCTGAAGGAAGACTTTCCTCTGGAGTCGTCACTACTTTCTGTCCGTAAAACTTCATCAGTGAACAGAACTTCAGGTGTGCACGTCTTAACAGAACCCTACGACGGATGGGACAGTAACTTTTCTGAAAACTGAACCTGACCCCAAGGTGTCTGTGGATCATGTATTTATTTACAGGTGGACACTGAATGTGATCACACAGCACATACACGTTTAAAGTACTCATTTTTAGTTTTCACAACAAGAATGCAAATCTGAGAAGTCACTAGTTTCCTTATTTAAAATATCAGGAGCCAGAGATGTCGTTCCGTGGCATGGTGCCAGCTGGCAAAGGCAAGGCCCTGAGTCCAAGTCCCAGTACCAAAAGTAAGTAAAATAAAATAAAATATCCAAATGACCACTTATAAGAACAGTACAGCCAACACTAGCTCACAACCTAAAAGGCAGTGACTCTGAAGTAGGCGCTCCGGTCAGGAAACGCTCTCTGCTGCTTTCACGGCACGTTAACAGTGTACTTAGCGGGCTAAGGAAAGCCCCTTGTTTACAAGGTGCTGCATTCCTGCCCGGCCTCTTCACTCTCCCTGTCTGTGAACGTTTTGTCCACATGCTCATATTTTCCACAAAGCAAGCATTTTTCCTATTGAGCACAGTGGCCGTGACGATCACTGGAAGTGATTATTCTGTTAGACACTAAATCTGAATTTTCCAACCCCTGTGCTATTTGGGCTTTCTATGTAGCTCATGATTTTTCACTCATAAAAATAATAAGGGCAATAAACACTTCAGTTATGTGTCTTTTTCACATTTTCAACTACAGAAAAGGGAAGAGAAATATTTGAGTGGTTCTTGGCGTCTCTTTTTCAGTTTACCTTCCCCAAGTACAGTGTCGCCAAAATTTACACTCTACTTTTCTGATTTTTAGTGGCTGACGAGGCAATGGGTTTTCATGGTTTCCTAGTCCATCGGTGAGTTTTAACACTGCATTTTCTTCTGTGTGAACACAGTCCTTGTCCATTTGCCTACCAAAAAATGTTTTTAGCATCAAATTTGGTATCATCTGTATATAATAGGGAAATATTGTATTCTTCCGTTTAATAAAAATATTTTCCAGGTATTTCTTTTTATTTATCATTTTAGTTGCGAGTGGCAGTGTACCCCTGTAATCTCAGCACTCAGGAGGCTGAGGCAGGAGGCTTGCTATGAGTTTGAGGCCAGCCTTGACTACAAAGTGAGTTCAAGGACAGCCTGAACTGCATAGTGAAACCCGTCTCAAAGAGACATCCCCCCCAAAAAAAGGAGAAGAAAAAAGAAAAAAAAGGGTCAGGGATTTAGCTCAGCAGCTCAAGCGCCTGCCTGCTAAGCACAAAGTTGTGAGTTTTATCTCTGGTACCAAAAAAAAAAAAAACAAAAAAAAACACACATTAAAGTTCAATAAAATTTTAAACAAATTTTATTTTCCTATTAGTTACTTCTGCTTCCACTATTGTATTTACAAGCATCAAGGGTATTAATAAAATAATGTAGGTAAATGTATTTTGGTCTAATAAAGGGCTGATCAGGCTGACACAGTCTTGATTTGTTTTGCAAAGTATCTGAATGCTTTATTATAGACTTTCATTACATTCAACAAAGCAAAGCAACCCTTTCTAAATGTTTACTGGCAGTGATTTCTCGGGGATCTGCAGCGTCCTGGGGCCCAGGGAGCCCTCATGATGGGCGCCAGCCTGTCTGCCCCACACTGGTCACTTACACAACCATCCGCTCACACACAGCAGTGACAGGACACTTCTGATGTACGTTCTCCTGAGTGCTACATTCTGAATACATAACGTTTTCTTTCCTTATTTCCCTCTTTTTGTACTGGAAATCAAACTCAGGACCTCGCACTTGCCAGGCAGGCACCGTGCCACTGAGTTACGTCCCGGCCAGGTTCTCTTTTAAACACAGCTGCACGCAGAGCCACGCAGAAGTGCGTGTGTCTACGACAGCCTGCTCAGGTGGGTGCATCAGAAGGAAGCGTGCGGGTACTCACGGCCTCGTGCAGTTCCTCGTGCTGACAGCACGACTTCGGGATGCTGATGGACTCTTCGGGCCCAGAAGTGTTAAGCAAAGTCTCTTCGAACTCGATTTCTTTCTCAAGTTTCACTAACACTGGTGGCTCAACCCCATACCTGGAAACCAATCAGGAAACGTGACTACCAGGGTACCAAGACAGATAAAATCTTTTTTTTTTTTTTTTTTTTTAATCGGTACCGGGGATCGAACTCACGACTGCCTGCTTGCAAGGCAGGCGCTTATGCCGCTGAGCTAAATCCCCAGCCCTAATAAAATCTTTTTTTAAAGCAAAGTCTCTATGATCTCCTCCACTGATTTCACTGGGACGCTGGGAAGCTTTCCAGCGCCTCCTGGATCAGCCTGGAATCCAGATCCCAGCCTGCACAGCACAGCCCATATTTAGGGTGCCAGCTGCTCCCCACAAATCCTTCCGGGATCCCGAAAGGCAGCGTTGAAGTCAGCAGATGAGTAGGTGGGCGGAACCCAGCAGGAGAGACACAGGCCTCCGCTTCCGTGTCACACCGAGCTCAGCAGACTTCCTGCCACGAGCTGCTTTACTTTAAAACTATCCGCTTTCACTCTGATCTCAAGTATCCAACTTATAATTTAATATTAAATGAAGGAAAATTATATGGAGAAAACCCGCACCTGCACAGGCTCCTGCTAGTAGGACAAAGAGAACAGAGACAAAAAAGGAAGGCAAAATAAGAAATGAAGTTACCTTATTTAGTTTCTTTTATTGTTTTTTAACAAGGTAGTATTCTAAACTAAAATTAGGTAGTTTAAAACAGTCTGTGACTGAAATTCTGAAACACTGCAAAGTACATACCTTGACACGATTCGGCCAATTTCAAGAAGACAAAGATACACTTGCCTCGGATCTTTGTGTAGAACTGTGGAAAACAGGACCAGTTGTTTTAGAGCAAAATTAAACCGGGAGATATTTTTGGCATGTTAGAGAGTAACAGAATACAATGAAGACAGCAGGCTTGCTTGTTTGGAGAAGAGTTAGAAAAGACTTTATACTTCCTTTGTGTATTGCTATCGTCTATAAACTGTTTTAAAAAGAACTAGCTAACAAGAGGACGAGGACCTACCTTATTTTCTATGTTAGGATTAAAAATTAAAAGTGTAGTAGCATTATTTGTGTTTTAGATGTCTAGATAGATAATATTAAAAGAAATGTATCACCTCAACTTGTTTTTCTTTCTTTCTTTCTTTAAACAGGGCTCGTGTAGTTCAAGCTGGCCTTGTAGTCACTCATAGCCCAGCCTAGCCTTGAATTCATAGTGATCCTCCTGCCTCAGCCTCCCAAATTCTGGGATTATAGATGTTTGCCACATCCAGCTATCGCCTCAATTTTATTCCAAACTATCTTTGACTATGTGCTAATTTGTCTAACGTTATAAAAATAAAAGAGGGGAGAGCACTTTCTGATTCTGCAGTACCAGCATTACCCTGAAACCAAGTCAAGATATCACAACAAAACTAAGAAGCAATGTTCCTTTTGAGAAAAGATACAAAAATCCTCAGCAACATAGGGATGAACAAAATTCAGAAACATGTAAGAAGGATTAAACACCATGATGAGGTGGGATTTATGCCAGAAATTCAAGGTTAGTTCAACGTATGAAATTAACCAATGTAATACACCATTAATAGAATAAAGGAGAAAACGCATACAAAAGAATGACAAAATCCAATATCCTTTCATGAATTTAGAAAGCAAGCTCCACAAACCAGAAATAGGAGAAAATTTTCTCAATCACATAAAAGGCAGCCATGAAAATCCGTACTTAGTGTCATTCTTATGGTAAAATCTGAAAACCTTTCCCCCGAGATGAGGGAAGGACAGGCTGTCGGCTCGGCTCGTCCCTCTCCTGGTTATCACCGTGCCGGGGGACCAGGCAGGGAACACCAGGCGCCCAAACCGGAAAGGAAGAGGGAGACCACTTGTAGTGGCAGACGACGGAATGCTGTGTGTAGAAAACCTTTAGGAATCTCCTGAGAAAGTATTAGCACTAATAAACAAGGACAGTGAAGCTGCAGGCTACACGGCAATACCCAAAAGTTAGCTGTCCACACTAGAAATGAATATAAACAAAATTAAGAAAATATCCCACTTGAAACCGCTTCAAAAATAAAGTACTTAGAAATAAATTTAAACAAAAAATATGATATTTTTATGACAAAACTACTGAAACATTATTGAAACAAATTAAAGAAGACATGAATAGAAGAACAACTCCTGTTCATGCATCAGCAGACAAGGTCATTAAGACGAAAACATTCCCCAAACAGACCTAGAGATTCCTTCCATGCAATCCCTAACAACTTGAGCAGTCCCTTTGTCCAGACATGGACAAGCTAGTGATAAAATTAAAATAGAGTTGTAAGGGGCACGAAATAGTAAAATCCCTATTGAAAAGGAAAACAAAGTTGGAAGAGTCACATTTCCCAAGTTCAAAATTTATTATGAGCAATAAAAATCAAGACAGTGTAGCCAGGCATGGTGGTGCCTGCCTGCAATCCCAGTACTTAGGAGGCCGAGGCAGGAGGACTGCGAGGAATTCAAGGCTAGGCGGGGCCACATAGTGAACTACACAGGGCGGCCCTTCTCAACCACAAGAATAACAAAAAGAAGATGGTGTCCAGGGATGAGAACAGGCATACATATGGAACAAATGGGTGGGAGTGAGCGTTGGAAATAAATCTAGATTTTTATATTCAATTATTTTCAACCAGGATGCCAACACACTTCAATGGGAAAAGAAGTCTGTTCAGCAATGGCACTGGGACAACTGGATGCCATTTGCCAAATGTGAATTGAACCCTTAGTGTAGGGAGCCGCACGACCACCCCGCTGCTGTCTCCCCGCTGCTGTCTCCCTCATATGGGCGCCTACATTAACCATAATCCTCTCCTACTCACGTCACGTACACGGACGTGACAATGACCCATCAGAGATCACCCCGTAGCCTCTTCCAGTCCCACCTGCCCGCCCCTGCCCTATAAAAGCTGCGACCACTTCCTCAATAAACGAGACTTGATCGGACTTCTTCGACTTGTCTCCGTCTCTGTCTCCTGCCCTGTCTCTGTTAATCCCCGTACCTTCTCCAGGAAACTGCCCTGCGGATCCAGATTGACTCACAGGCCGGGTCACCTTAGATCACAGCATATGCAAGAATTAGGATCAAAGACCTAAATGTTGACTTAAAACTGTAGAACTTTAAAAAAAATTTTTTTTATTATTATTTTGAAGGTAGTAAAATGCAACAGAACAAGACAGAACAAAGCCAATCGAGACAATGCAGTGAAATTGGTACAGAACTTCACAGCAGGTTGCTGGGATAACAACAAAACTATGCAACTTTTAAAAAGGAAACATAGGTAAAAAAATCTACAACTTGGATTAGACAGTGTTTTTAGATATGACACCAGAAATGCAAGCAAACAAAAATATATACATATATGGATGAGTCAATCTTCAAACTTTTTAAACTTTTGTATACCAAGGTATAGTATAAAAAAGGTAGGACACAAAGATTAGGAAAAAAATACTTGATCATATCTAATAAGGCCCAAGTGTCTAGACTCTACTCCAGCGTGCCGACCAGAGACAAATGACCCAACTAAAGGCGAAGAAATGAGCCAAGGCTTCGAATGGACATTTCCAAAAAGACGCGTAAACAGTCACCAACGAGATGAAAGCCACTGAGCGTCGCTAGGGGAGAGCAAACCAAGGCCACCGTGAGACGCCTCCCATACCCACGTGACGGTGTACAGAGGACGGGCACGGGGGCGATCGGGAGAGGCTGCCACCTGGTGTGCTGCTGGTGGGGATGAAAGGAGTGAGGCAGCCACTGTGAAAAAGATAAACATCAGATCACCATGACCCAGCCATTCACTGCTAGGTACGTGAGAGCTAAAAATACGTGTTCACTCAAAAGCTTGTACACCAACATTTACAGCAGAGCTAACACGTAAGAGCCAAAAAGTGAAACCAGTCTGAATGTCCATCAGCTGATAGGTGGATATATTTTTTAAATGTAGTGTTATTTAGACTCTGGAGTTCTATTCAGTCATAAAATGCAGTACTGTTCCATATACAGAATGAATGAAGGTGAAAGGGTCCAGACATGCGAGATCACATACTGTACCACTCTGCAGTATCTAAAATAAGCAAACCTACAGAGAGTACGTGAGTGGCTGCATGTGGAAGAGGGTAAGGTGTGGCTTTCTCTCCGAGTGACAGAAACGTTCTGAACTGGATTAATGATGATCCTATAAATCATGAACATACTAACCCTCAACTGTCAATTTTTAAAATTACAAATTTCAGGTAAGGTGAAGCATACAATAAGATGTTTAAAAATATTACTTTAAAAACAAACCTGGGACTTCCGGGAGAACATGGCGGACAGATAACAGCAACTACCGGAGGCTCTCTGAAAGACTCGGCTCAGAAGCCAGGAATGGTGCGGACTAAGGAGACATAAGCAGGTGGAGATATGCTCTGCTGACTCAGGAACGAACTGGGCTGAGAGAAACCAACTTGGAATCCAGTCCTGGTGCTAAAACAGGAACAGAAAAGCCTCGGTGTGGAGGCTGGACCCCGCGCCATTGTAAGCCGCGATTTGGGTTTCCCGCCGCCCGGCGGCTGGCTGCCTCCACAGCGGCTCAGCAAGGAGAGAGACGCGCAGAAGCTCTGAGAACGGCAATCTGCGAACGGCAGGGAGGCGTGCACTGACTTGTGGTGAGGTGAGTGAGAGAAACTGACACTCTACCACAGTTTGACTCCAGCAGAGGACTTTCTGGGCCCGAGCAGTCCTGCGGGAGCAGGGCGCGGTGGCAACTCCAGCCACACATCCCCCTCTTGGGCGGGATTGGTGAAAAGTGCCTGGCCTGTGTGACGCTGCCGGCGGACCCGGTAGGCTGGCCCAACCCAGATCCCAGAGCCTGATGGTGGCAGGGAGGGGCGACGCGTAGGCTGCCTGGTCCGTAACTCCCTGGTGCGCAGCGGTGAACGGGAACACCTAACTGGCGCAATTCGATCAGGCTGTGGCTGACTGGGAGAGAAGCTGGGCCTCTTATATAAGCTTGCATATATAAGGAACAGAGAAGAAGAGGCAGCATGGGAAGAGGCAGCAACAAGAAAGGCTCCTCGGCCCCCAATTCTGAGAAACAGGCAATAGCAGACACCGCACCAATACACATAAGGCGCCATATAGAGAGCCTCATAGACCAATTCAGGAATGAAGTTATCAACGACTTGAAGCTAGAAGTATGCATAATAGTTAGAGAAATGCTAAGTACCACCTAAGAAAAAACAGGTGGTGGAATGGAAGAACAGAAAAAAAGGGGAGAATTGTTTGATGGAGAAAACAGAGAAAGCATAGAATACGTGAAGCAGGTTCAAAGGGACTACCAAGATACTAAGAAGTCTATAGAAGACTGGCATAACAGCTTGAAAGAAACTAAGGACAGACTATCTGAACTGGAGGGCAGACTTGTAATATGGGAGAATGAAATGAAAAACTTCTTAAAAATAACAAAGAAACAAACAGCAATAATACAAAGACAAGAAGATGATAAGAGGATCCATAACTTAAGGATTAAGAACATAAAAGAAGAAGTAGGGACACAAACAAGTGAACTACAAAAGCTACTCACAGAAATAATCCAGGAGAATTTTCCTAATTTAGCAAAAGGTAAAGATACTCAGATGTATGAGGCATACAGGACCCCAGCTACCTACAACCCAAAGAGAGCAACACCCAGGCATATAATAATAAAAATTCCAGAAATTCAATACAAGAACAGAATATTAAAAGCTGTAAGAGACAAGAAACAGACCACTTACAAGGGAACACCCATCAGAATTACAGCAGATTTCTCTGCACAAACCATCAAATCACGAAGAGCGTGGGGGGAAATAATTCAAGCTTTGAAAGATAATAATCTCCAGCCAAGATTGAGATATCCTGCACAACTGTCCCTGGAAATTGATGGAAAAACAAGGTGCTTCCAGGATAAAGAGGAACTGGGGGAATTTGCAACCACCAATTCAACTCTACAGAGAGTATTGCAGGATATTCTAAAAAAAGAAAAATACAAAGAATCCAGAAATAATGGCAGAGAGGCCACAACGAATGGAGCAGAGAACAAAATGAAGAAGACAAACTGACAGCTACTGACAGAAAAAAAAAGCTCAACAGAAATGAGGCAGAGAAGATTGGATGATAGGAACAGCTATTTTGGAGAAAATGACATCTTAATAGGTAATACTGATTTAGTATCATCTTGTTTTGAAGTCTCATCTAGCTTTTGTTCTTCTGTCTCCAATGGTCTAAATAGGTTGTACTTTATTGGATTTTATTATGTACGATAGTATAAGCAAAAACCTTTTAAAGACAAGGAGATTATACAGAAACCATTGTTCATTTTCTGTTAGTCGATTCTAAATACTCTGTAATGCTGTCATTCTCTTGAATGGTTTTACATTGTTTTGATATACTTAATGCTACAGTATACGAAGTTGTACTCAAGGATTTCAAAGAAAGAGACAATATGGTAACTACTTTTAGGTTAGGATTATCTGGTGGTGAAACACTATTCTGCTTAAATGGTTATGTTTTGATCTGCGCTGTTTCGTTGTTATGCCCTCTTTTATCTCAATCTCCACTCCATTATTTACTTTTTTATCTTTATCCTTTTAATTAAAGGAAAAAAAATAGCAGGATATATTATAGTAACCCACTTTGACTTTTCATTACCTTGATTTAAAGCCCTGTATTACTCTCACCATCTGGTTTTTAACTGATGTTCCCCTATTCTGTTTTGCTGGATAGTATCAGGTTCGAAAGTTTAGGCATCAGCTATGAAGATAATGAGATTCATTATGACGCCCATTCTTGTTGACTTTTATATACTTTTGAAGACCTACAATGTCTCCAATGTTTTGGTTTTGTCGGTTTTATTCTTTACTGTTTTGTTCAATTGTATTATAGCTAACGATATAGGCAATTCTATTAGAGATAGCGGGAGGCATTATGGTAACCATTGTTGATCACCTTGTATTATGTTTTTACATTATCTATTATGTCCACCCTTTTGACTTGACCGATTCTGTTCTGTTATGTCACATTTGGTTTTACTCTCTTCCAAAAAAGTAATAAGAACCGTGGGAGCAATGAAACCCAAAATGTGTAATAGTCATGGTACAAAAGAGAGGGAAAAAAAGTGCTCCAAACTATATAATTGCATGTATATTTAAGTGTATAAAATAGAAAATGATATCACAGAGTTTTATTGGATCAATGAACAGAACTGTTTGCAGTATCATTGATGGAATGTCCACTTTACAAGCGTTAATTTTGTGACTTGAACAATTATTTCTAAGATGACAATATGTAATCCATTAACTAGTGATTTCCTACTGTTCATTTTTTTTCTGTAAATCTGTATAACTTGTACCCTTTCCCTGCTTTTTTTTTCTTTTCTCCTTAAACAAAATTAATTCTAAAAGGAATCACAAGGAAATAGAAAGCCTGTTAAGAAGAAAAGAACCCAGGCCTGGCTGCAGAGCTAATTCCAAATGTGCCCAACAAGGCGGTCCTGAGACACCTGCCCTTACGTCTGGCCCTACTTAAAAACAGTGGGAAGTTCCCAGACCCTAACCGAAGAGTGAGCAGTGTGTGATGAACTGCAGGTACACTGATCCCCCACAGAAATGGCAGCTGCTCTCTGATTTATGAGTAGCATTTATTATACACCCACAGTACAAAGTATTACCTTTTCAAGCAATAAAAAGACCTATTTGTGAGTTTAGTTTATATTAATCAATGACTGCATCCTGAAATTTTTGAAACTTGTTTTTCTAAACACTTAAAGCAGGTACCTGCCAGGAGTGGTGGCACAGGCCTGTCATCCCAGCACTTGGGAGGCCGAGGCAGGAAGATCTTCGTGGGTTTGAGACAAGCCTGGGCTACAAAGTGAGCTCAAGGCCAGCCTGAACTGCATAGTGAGGCCATCTCAGAAAGACCAAAAAAGAAAAAAAAAAAAAAAAAAAAAACCCAGGTACCTTAAAATAGCATATCTGTTTCTTAAAATCGCCCTAAATTTCCAGCAAAAGCTAAATCAATAAACAAATAAAGAAAGAAAGAAGAGGCTCATCTCCAAAACCTTTAAGGGAGCAAACATTAGCTCATCAGTTCAATACCTAGAAATGAACTGCGGGAGCAAACATTAGCTCATCAGTTCAATACCTAGAAATGAACTGCGGTACTGACTGTGCTTTTTCAGTCCTGTACTGACTCAGGGCCATTGAAAGATGCCATTTACTGCTAACAGAAATAAATGGTTCTCACTTCCTTTCTAAGAGTCGCCAGCCTAGAGACTTCGAGGCGTTTTGTCTTCCCTTGGGTCCCGAGGGTCTGGGCGAGTCCCTGTCAGTAAGGACCCACAGGCTGGACCCACCGCCGGGCTGGACCCACAGGCTGGACCCACTGCCGGGGTGGACCCACAGCCGGGCTGGACTCACAGGCTGGACGCACGGCCAGGCTGGACCCACAGGCTGGACCCACAGGCTAGACGCACGGCCAGGCTGGACCCACGGCCGGGCTGGACCCACAGGCTGGACCTACAGGCTGGACGCATGGCCAGGCTGGACCCACAGGCTGGACCCACGGCCGGGCTGGACCCACAGGCTGGACGCATGGCCAGGCTGGACCCACGGCCAGGCTGGACCCACGGCCGGGCTGGACCCACAGGCTGGACGCATGGCCAGGCTGGACCCACGGCCAGGCTGGACCCACAGGCGGGACCCACGGCCAGGCTGGACCCACAGGCTGGACGCACGGCCAGGCTGGACTCCCGGTCGAGCACACCGGGGGCAGGAGAGCACCCGCTTGCACACTGGCCGGCAGTGCCCAAGAGGCAAAGCAAAGGGCAGCGCTCATCCGATCGCAGAGGCCAGGGTGTGCGGGGCAGCAGAGAACTGAACGGCGATGACCAAGCCGAGGGAGCGGCCCGCCACCACCCCCGCCACGGCCACTGCTCTGGGCTTCTCATCACCGCAAGAAGCAAGCGCACACAGCAGCGGCCGTGAGCTTCTCCCCCAGGGCGAACTCGCACTGTCCTGTGAGGCACAGCACGGAAATTCCCCGTATGTGTGTGTCTGCACACGTACACACATGCACATGCACACTCGTGCTGTGAAGTATCTACCAGAGTCTAAAGCATGTGAGAGCCGCGGCCTCAGTCCTTACACAGCCGGCTCTGCGAACTCCAAGGGAACAAGCCGGCAGCTCTTCAGGAGAGCACGGCTGTTCAAACGGTTGTCCCAACACTGAGCCACTGAGATAAACAAGGGCACAGCTGTTGCTTACAAGGCAACTCTAACATGACATGTACACGGCATCGGCCTTATTATTTCTGTAATATTTGATTAAAGCCATCTTACTAGTAATTTAGACTTGGTAAAGTAATTCTTGATGAAAACATTAATTAATAAAACATTAGTCCACAACTTTCCTGTAGCCAGTCAATTTAGCAAGTAAAATATTTTTAGGGCATTCTGGATCCACAGAGTCTTAACAATAAAAGCTTACCGTATTTGATTGAATATTGTTTCACATATAGGTAAGTACACATTTTTCTGAGAAAATAACACGTGGCATCTTGAATCATTATTTGAAGAGAAACATTAGGTGGGTGGGACACCGGAAACGTCCTAACAAACAGGAAAAACGAAAACGCTCACCTAAACCCTCAGATTCAAAGAGGTACGTCTCGTCCACCCCGATGTCCCGGCACCAGCGGAGGAAGTTCGCGGTGTTGTCCCTGGCAAAGAAGGAGCCCGAAGCAGCATCTTTCTTACAAGGCACTTTCCTCAGTGGAAAATTCTGGAAAGACAAAGATGATACCTTAAAAAGTACGTCAAGGACACTTCTATCAGATACTCACTTCAGTATGACACAGTAAAGTCTCTACACATTGAGGTAGAAGCACACAGCTTTAGGAAAAAACAGATTTATCTTCCAAAATGACTTTTATTATCCCTTAACTATATCCGGAAGATGATTCCCGGAAAGCAGTCTATCGAACTTAGCAAACAGGCTCAAGGGTCCAGAATCTCCTGCTTTTTAAAACTCACGCAGGAATCCTAGTAAGATAAAAACGAGAGCTCGGTCATCGTGAAGCGCATCGTGACGCCGTCTCTCCCAACACGGCTCGGGACAGACGGACCCGCTGTACACTCACAGCAGGCGGGAGTGCTCCTCTGTGCTCACCCCTCACCCAGCTTCGCACAGACAGCTCCGACGGCCTGAGAAAACCACCGAGTAAGGAAGAAGCTAGCTCTGCTTAATGCTTTCAAAATCGATGGCCTAAGTGTCATAGATTTCTTCTTTTTAAACTATCCGGCCTAAGAGGTTTTAGATAATCCTGCCGAGTTTCAGATGAGCTGTCATCCTTTAAAATTTCTGCTTGAAAATGCAACCTATAATACAATTCTTTTTTTCTTTTGAGACAGGGTCTCACTATGCAGTTCAGGCTGGCTTTGAGCTCACTTTGTAGTCCAGGCTGGTCTCGAACTTGCAGGGATCCTCCTGCCTCAGCCTCCCGAGTGCTGGAATTATACGCATGCACCCATAAATACGATTCTTCTTAATGCAGTAGGTATAGTCAGTCTCTCTCCACCTCTCCCCCTAGAGACAGCCACTGCTTGCAGCTCCTCGCACATCCTTCCTGTTGCTATTATTTTCTAGAATTAAAACAGCCTGTGAGGTTTTAGAATTGAATACTGAATGTATCACCATTATCAAAAAATTAAACAATGTAGCAAAATACAAACAGGAGTAATACCAACCAAAATCTTCTCACCCACATTTTACAACACATCTCCATGTGATGCTATGCACAAAGCCAAAGCTACAGCACCCCATAAGCATGCTATGCTGCAATCCAATTCACCTGTGTATGTGTACAAGTATACTTCACACTGACTGCAGGCATCTCTTAGGGTTAAGAATAACAGATTGGGATCATTACTTCTAGTAACTGTATAAGCAAGACCCCCAAACTCTTGAAAACACCCACATTTGTAGTACCTGTCTAGGTACCATAGTGTTTTTTCAATTGATTTTATTGGTACATTTTAGATATACACAATGATTCTATTCATCATAGAGAATTTATACCTGTGCATGATTAGACACCATACTTAATTTTTAAAAACTTCTTTCTTAGTGAATACTATCACATGTGCAAATTTGAAATTTCCTTAAATTCTGAAGAACATGATTAAGTATTAAGGAGTATGTTTATTTTTAATATTTGATATGCACACACATGTATTTGTACGGATATACATACATGTTTGTGTATTCATATATATGTACATACACAGGACAGGGAGGGAACCATACAGCTTACTGTCCTCTAGAATGAGAATAGTCTGTCAGTGCCTAAGCTCCAAATACATGTTTTTCTTTATGGTATTAGGATCAAAACTAAGAACTCCCACAAGTTAGACAAATACTTTACTACTGAGCTATATCTCCAATGGTTTTTATTTATTTTTTGATCAACATCTCACTAACAGGCTGGTCCTTAACTTGCAATACTCCTGCCTCAGCTTCCCAAGTGGCTAGGCTTACAGGTGTGCACCACCACACCCAGCAAGACCCCAAACTCTTGAAAACACCCACATTTGATAAAGAGAAAGAAACCTGCTCTACTTCAAATCATGGCTTGAGGGTCAATGGAGGGAAACTGTCTTTAAAAATTATTAACTTAAATTAATGCGGAAATTTACCACCAAGGCAACACACGGAGAACAATCATCTCAGCTGCTCCCTGAGGGCCAGGGACTGTCGGGCCCTCCTCTCCTGTCACCCTTGCCAGGCCTGCAAGGAAGGCCTGTGTCTAAGAGGAGGCAGCTACCGGGTGCTGACAGGTCAAGCCCCACGCGGGAGACGTCTTCACGTCCCTCGCTATTGTGCAAGTTACACGTTAGCATTTCTATTTTACAAACAACGTCAGTTCACAGGCTCGCAAAGGTTAAGTCAGCAGTTCACTGTGTCGTTGCCAGTTGCGGAAGGGAAGTTTACGGCTTGCAGCAATGCGAAGGAACACACAGGAACAGATCACGGCGGGACAGAGTGCAGCCCTTACCTCCGGCTCCTCAGTGCTGCAGGCTGTCACCGTGCTCTGAAGAACATCAATGAGCTGGCACAGCAACACCCCGTTATCGAGCTCGCCCAGTAAGCCTTCCGCCTTAATTTCAAGACCTGCAACATGATTGCGAAGTTAAAATTCTACAACAGTAAATTCAGATGAAACAGTGAAATATTAATGAATAGAAACAGATTATGGCTGAAAGACTGAACAAATACCAGCTGAGACTCCAATATCCCCTCTGTGGTACTGTTCAAATGAGTAACATTAAATGAAAGAAAACTAACAGAAAAGTATCTGTGAGGTAGAAATACAGAAAGAGATTCACGCTTGTTTTATTTCATTGAAAAATGAAAGAAATTCACTACATATCAATACTTCTTACACACTCAAGAGAGTCTTTAAAACAAGATGGATTTTCTGAGAAAGAAATCAGCGGAGTGACTGATAGGAAAACCCAGCCTCCCCAAGATCCAGAGTCCAGACGCTGGAAAATGACTCGGGGAGGAAAAAAGTCAAACGGATCACCAGGAATCGGGAATGAACACGGGAAATGAGAAGCTGGGGGAGCCGGAGAGAGCGGGGAGCCGGAGCTGAGCTGGGCCTCGGCCCGCAGGCAGCAGGACCGGGACTCCTCGCCCGCGGAGCGCTCGGTCAGACACTGCTGATCATTTAAATCTGGGACTCGGAACAGCTGGAAAACATCTTTACTTCAGGGCTCCGGCGTGACCCAGCCAGCGGCAGCGTGGGAGGTGGTGAGGCCAGGCCAGATGGGGACCCTGAGCAGCCGCAGGTCGGCAGGAAGGACACGGCCCCACCCAGGGAGAAACCAGGCCGGGGGAGCTGCACTCGGGGACAGCTGGGCCCCCAGTGCCCGAGCCTGCTGCCCAGCAGCGAGAGCGAGGACGCCAGGGAAAGCAGCCCTGCCGGAAGGGAACCACTCACTCAGAACTAGGGGAGCGCACGCCAGGGTCCCGGTGGGCAGCCGGCCATCGGGGTCCCCACAAAGCCCCCAGCAGACACGCGGACAGGGACAGCACTTTCCCTCGAGCTCTGAACTCATGCTCTTTTTTCCTTCTCTTTCCTTTTCTTTTTTATTCTCTACATTTTTTCTTTTCTTCATCTTCTTTTTTCCTGTTACCTGTATCGAGCTCTATCCATTTCTCTGCCCAGCTCTGCTTCGTAACAGCATCGTGCGGCTCACTTTTCTCACTTTTCAGGTGTTTCTTTCTGCATTCTCCCCTTCCCCAAACCAGCATCTTTACTGGCATAACTATTAAACTTCATTAGATAGTTAACTCTATGTTACTACTGTCGAATTCTTTTCCATTACTGCTGGAGGTACAGTTAGCCTTCTCATTTTTGACATACACAAATGTTCGCTGTATGACAGTATCTGGTTTAAGAGTTTATTCTGTAATGGTGGACTCTAAGGCTGAGGCTAACATCACTGGTTCTTCCAGTACGTTAGCACCCTAACTTAGGCTTGGACAAGGTCACTGCTGCTGATCTGCCTGACACTGCCAGGGTCACACAGCTGTTGCTGCTAATAGGTTTTCTCTGTATCCGGATACCAGCAATACCTGTGTGGAGTAACTGGGGTCCATTCCCAGAGAACTGGGTGCTGGGTCAGTTCCCTGCATCCACCCTCCACAGCAGAGCTGAGCGGGTCTTAGGACTACAGTTAGCACGCTCTGAGTGCATCCCTGGAAAATGATAATGCACTAACTGAAAGAGATCTAACCAAGAGATCCCTGTCCTAGCACCAAAGGCCACCTGCTATACGGGACAACACACACATAAGCCCAAACAAAACAACCAAACAACCATAGAAACATGAGGAAAAAAAGAACAAAATGCTTCCCCAGATTACCAGCTACCCAAAGTGAACCATCAGGCACTACCTGGGATGAAAGTAACGGCAACCAAATTGTTTGAAAGGGTAACAGCGGTGGAGGCATCATGGTGCACACCTGTGATGCCAGCGCTGGGAGGCTGAGGCAGGAGGACTGCTGAGAGTCTAGTCAGTCAGGGCTACACAGTGAGTTCAAGACCAGCCTGAACTACATGGGCCTAGCCTGTCTCAAAAAACAAAACAGAACAACACACAATAACAGAGGAGACTGAAAATCAGGGTAATGAGATATTCAGTGGGCTCACAGAAAATATAACTAACCAGATAATGGCAGTAATAAATGAAATAATCAGGGAGTTTACCAAAGAAACCAACAAAAAGCTAGCTGAGCTAAACAAAACAACAAAAAATATTTAGCAAACAACTAGAGTCCATGAAAATGTTCCAAATAGGAATCCAGGAGATTAAAAATTATATACAGGAAGCAAAAGTGACCAGTGCAAGGACAGAATATCAGGATTAGAATACAGAGATGCTTCCACAGACTAGTGACTCAGAGATGCCTTAAAAACAACACAAAAAATGGATTCAACAGCTGCTGGATGATACAAAGACTAGTTTAAGATTAACTGGAATAAGTGAAAAATCAGAAGACAGCACAGAACACATTAAAAAAATCTGTTTATAGAAGACGTAGCAGAAAACTTTCCAAATATTGGAAAAGGATTAAATATACAAAAGTGAGGTATATAGAACCCCAAATAACTATATTCTAAAGAGAACATCAGTCAAATATTCAGAAGTCTAACACAGGGACAGAATTTAAAAAGCCATTACAGAAAAGCAATCAATCACTTATAAAAATAAACCCATTAGAATTACAGAAGACTTCTCAACACAAACCGTAAAGGCCAGGAGAGCTTGGAGTGAAGTGTTTTTCAAGTCCTAAAAGATAACAACTTCTAACCTTGATTCTATATCCTGCATAACTTTCTCTCAAAATTAACGGAGAAATAAGGCATTCTCATGACAAAGAGTAACTCAAGAAATTCATGATCACTAAGTGAGTCAAAGAAGAAATCAAGAACAAAATTAGTTCCTAAACTCCAACAATATCAGTATAGTATACTGGGACCTATGGAACACAATGAAAGCAGTTCTAAGCGGGAATTTTATAGCTGTGAATACCCACATCAGGAAAACAGAGTGAGCCTAAATAAATAACCTAATGATTCACCTCAAGTTCCTAAAAAATCAAGAGTAGTCCAAACCCAAAACTAGTATAAGGAATGAACTTATAAAGAATAAAAATTAATGAAATTGAGACTAAAAAAATACAATGAATCAGAGTTGGTCTGTTGAAAGAATAAACAGACAAATCCTTAGCCAATCAGACCAAACAGAGGAAAAATCCAAAACAATACAATAGAAATGAAAAGGTGAAATCACGACACATTCTGTCAAAATCCAGCAGATTATTAGTAATTATTTTGAGAACCCACATTCTGGTACAATGGAGAAATCAGAAGAAATGGATATATTCATAGGTACATATGAAGTATCAAAGCTAAACCCAGAAGGGATAAAAACCCTGAAAAACCCAGTTATCAAGCAATGAGACTGAAGAAACAAATTTTTTAAAAACTACCATCTAAGAAAAGCCAAGTCCCAGTGGTTCACTCCCAAATTCTACAAGAACTCTAGAGAAAATCTAATGCTAATACTCCTCAAGCTCTTTAATGAAATCAAAGAAGAAAGCATACTCCAGAGTCACCGACAGAAGCTAGCACTGCCCTGACTACAAAGCAGAAAAGGACCCAACAAAAAATGAGAGCTACAGGCCAATCTTTAATGAACACAGATGCAAAAATCTTCAACAACATATTAGCAAACAGACTGCAACAAGTCATCAAAAGGATCATAATTATGACCAAATACGATTCATCTCAAGGATGCAAGGGAACTGCCACATCAAAAGAAGCAAAGGCCAAAAATCACATAATCATCTCAATTGACACAGAAAAAGCCTTTGACAAAATTTAACATTCATTCATCCATGACAAAAAAAAAATGCTGAAGAAAACAGGTGCAGAAGGACTTTATCTCAATTTGATAAAAGCCACTTATGACAAACCTACCACCATCATATTAAATGGGTAAAACGAAAAGCTTTCCTGCTAAAATCAGGAAAAAGACAAGAATATCTGCTATCACCAGTATCGCTCAACATACTGTAGTTCTCAAAACATTAGCCAGAGCAATCGGGGAAGAGCAAGAGCTAAAATGGATATATATATATATACATAACCTGCATACATGTATATATGAAAGGAAGACATCACAGTATCATTATTTGCAGATGACACGAGCTCTACATAGAAGACTCAAAAAATCCCACCAAAAAGCACTCCTACAATTACCAAATTCACTAGCATAGCAAGACTCAAAGTCAACCCACAAAAATAAATGGTGTTCCTGTATACCAATAATAAAATCTCCAAGACAGAAATTAAGGTAATAATATGTTTCTCAATAGTCTAAAGAAAACTTAAATACCTAGGAATTAACGTAGAAAGTGAATGACTCCTACAACAAAAACCTGGTACAGGGGGCTGGAGACTTAGCTCAGCGGCCTAAGTGCCTGCCTGGCAAGTGCAAGGTTGTGAGTTCAACCCCGGGAAGAGAAGAGAAGGGGGAGGGGAGGGGAGGGGAGAGGAGAGAAGAGAAGGAAAGAAAGAAAGAAAGAAAGAAAGAAAGAAAGAAAGAAAGAAAGAAAGAAACTAGTATTCTGAAAAAAAGAATTGAAGAGGACATGTTTTTAAAACACCAAGATACTCCCGGATCCTGGATAGGCAGAATCAATACATTCAAAATGGATATTTCCAAAACTAGTATGCAGATTTAACTTAATCCTAGTCAAAATACCAATAGCATTCCTTACAGAACCAGAAAAACCAATTCTAAAGTCCATGTGAGCCAGAGCACACCTGGGCAACAAAAAGCAGGAGGAATCACAGTTCTGGACTTGGAGTTATACGATACAGTCACAGCAATAAAAATAGCATGATTTTGGCATAAAAAAAGGCATGGGGATCAATAGAACAGGATAAAAGACGCAGAAACAACTCCAAGCACGTACACCTATCTGATCTTTGAAAATGTACACTGGAGGAAAGACAGCCTCTAACAAAGTGTCTGGGGAAACTGCCCATCCAAATGCAGAGAAGGCTGAATCTAAATGGATCAAAGGTCTAAACATTAAATCAAACATTTAATCTGCCAGAAGATAAAACAGACAAAACTCCAAACACACCTGCACGGGCACAGGCGAGGACCTTCTCAACAGGGCTTGCTGCACAAGCATAACACTGAGGATTAACAAATGTGGCCACACCAAATTAAAAAGCTTCTGCAAGACAAAGGAACCAACCAGCAGGGTGAACAGGCTATTTCTCGGCCAGAAGACCTCAGTCTAGAATACATAAAAACTCAAAAAAATTAGATTTCCCCCAAAATAAAAGACCCCATCAAAAAAATTAGCATCTGAAATGAACAGACACATCTCAGAAGATCAAATACAAATGACCAATAAATAGTCCATGAAAAAATATTCCAACATCTCTGGCCATCAGAAAAATGCAAACTAAAACAACACTGAGATTCCATCTCACTCCAGAAAGAATGCTGTTATCAAGAAATCAGTTAACAATAAACGCTGACAAGACTCCGTCAAAAAAGGAATTCTTCATTCTTGGTGGAATGTAAACTACCACCACCACTGTGGAAATCAGTATGGAGATTTCTCAAGAAAATAAAACGAAAAACTCCATCCAACCCAGCTATTTCCCTCCTAGGTATCTTCCCAAAAGTTTTTAAAGCATCATTATTACTGTGATACTTAGTGCAGTGACGTCGTGTTTATAGCAGCACAATTCGTAACAGCGAGATCTTAGATCAGCACATGCCTAGATAAAGAAAATGTGGTATGTACATACCGTGGAGTACTGCTCTGCCGTAAAGAGGATGAACTTACATCATTTGGAGGAAAGGCAAATATGACACCACACATTCTCTAGCTGCCATTTCCTTCTCAGTTTCACAAGACTCTGCCTGTCAGACTCTCAGGACTTAAATGAGAGTAAAGGGAGCAGCACGGGGAACAGTAAGGACAAAGCCAAATCAGACGGATGCACTTGTTCTGTTCTGCTCTGCTCTGTTTGAGTCAGGGTCTAGCTATGTAACCTGGGCTGGCCTCAAACTCACAGGGATCCTCCTACCTTGGCGTCCCGAGTGCTGAGATTACAGGCATGTACCACCCACCCCGCCCAGCCACAAACCTATGTACTTCTTTAGAAATATTTTAATACTAGCAAAGAAGTGATTGTTGAAAGCTACTGACCTTTTCAGTTACATTTCACATTTCCTAATATCCCCGATCCAAAGCGTTGGGTGAATCAGAGAAGCTCCCAACTAGAGCAAATGTGAGCGCGGGGAGAGCCAGGACTTGGACGATCGCGTTCACTACAGTACCCCAGGCGTCAGGACAAGCACCCTGACAAAAGGAGAAGGTGCTGCACAAGAGGACAGAGGGGGGCGTCTTGGCGAGCCTTACCTAGCAAGCCGGACAACCAGATGGACAGATCTTCCTGCATGGGCAGCAGCGTGGCCTCATGCCTCACGGCTATCCACTCGTCATACTGGCAGACGTCGGCCAGCCCCGGGCCGTGTCTGGGCGTCCGAGGGCTCCGCGGACTGAGCGGCAGGTCTTCCCCGAACCACACCTGGAGAAACAGCGAGCGGGTGAGTGAGCGCGGCCCTGCTGAGTCAGCCTGCCCCACATCCACGTGTGAACAGCGAGGTGTGACCCACACGCCGAGTACGTGTGCACAAGGCCGAGGCGGCTCACGGAAACCACACGCGAATTAGAAGCAACCCTTAAGATACTTGCTGATGTTACCATCCCAGTTCCGATGATTTCACTGGGTTTCTTCAGGAAGATGTCCAGCTTCCAAGAAATATATACTAAAGTACTCTAAGCATTCGGCTGGCCACTTGCTCTTTTTTCTTCTTCCGGTCTTCTTGAGACAGGATCTCCCGATGCAGCTCACTTTGTACCCAGGCTGGTCTCTAACCTGCAGTGACCCTCCTGCCTCAGCCTCCCGAGTGCTGGGATGACCGATGTGCGCCACCACATCCAGCTGGCCACTTACTCTGATCAAACAAACTTCCGTGTACTATACTGAACAACTACTGTGCGGGTTTATTTAAAATTCTTAAAGCATTTAAAAAAAGAGTGCAGTGAGTCTAGTCTTTTGTTGGATTTTAAATATAAAATATTTCCCTTTTCAGTTTATTACATTTATTGAGGTTCACTTGAGGCAAATCCTACTACACCAAATCAGAAGCCAAAGCAGTTCTCATGTAACCCAAAAAACTTCGGGAGGGAAAAAGCATCCACTTCTAATCCCCTGTGATAAGAAATACGCTTGCTTTAAATGAAGAAGCCCCAAAGCCCAAGCAAGAAAATGAACACCAGAATATGCCGGGGGAAGGAAATGGAATAAAACTGCCCAAAGACAAAATGAAGAATCGGCCATCTGAGAAGCTGCGTCAGGAATTATGGGTGGAGGTGGGGAGTGAATCCCTAAATACAAGCCGGAGAGTCTGCAGGGCGGGGTCTGTAGACTACGCCTGTGGCTGCATCTGGCCCACCGCTTATTTTGTAAATAAAGTTTTATTGGAACACACACACACACAAGATGCGCCTGAGTTAGGAGGGTGGTCTGAGGGTGGTCTCCGGGCCCTGGAGAGGTGGCCATTAACACGCGTCATTCTTACCTTCACCACATTGGGAAGAAGACCTGCTCTGCTGCATTTTCCTCTACTGTAAGCAGAGGACGTAACAACCTGCACTACTCAAAAGCACAGGAATCTTAAAAGTTAGATGCTCAAAACAAAACCTGCATGTATGCAAGGTGTTCTCTCAGCTGAGAGCTGTCACAGTGCAGGAACCCTCCATCTGCAGCCAATCCACAGAGCTTGCTCTCCCCTGGATCTCAGCGCGTGCCGAGACTCTGTGCACGTGAGCTGCTTCTCAGAAACACAGCTCAAAGTTTTCATCGGATGCTCCAGAGGACTAAAACCAAGAGTGAAGAACTACTGTTCACTGACGTTGAGACGATGTGCTTACTTATTAATCCTGATAAAGGACATAGAAGAACAGCATGGAACACTGTAAAGTATTAAATTAATAAGGAATCAATTGATGCTGGCTGTTTACTGAATGTCTCCTCTCACAAGGCATTTATACATAATTAGCTGTCTAATAGAGAGTTCAATTCCCAGTACTAAAAACCAAACAAACAACTGTAACGGTGCTTCGTGAAGAAATCAGAAAAACATGATCAATATGCAATGCGGCAGTGAGAAAAGCACTCTCTAAGGAATCGAAAACAAAACTGACGAGAAAGTAAAGAATTTCTGGGCAAGAATAAAGACAGATAGATAGATAAACTCAGATCAGGATGGTTTTGAGTAAAAGGAATTCTGAACGATGAAGGTGGACATGAGACTCGAAGAGGAGGAACCAGACCTTAGGGAAACTGTCACACAGGGTTCTGTTGGTCGAGCAGGAGGACATAAGACAGTGGAACGGCACAGGAAGCTGTATCAGGAGGGTGTACTCAGAGTTGCTCTTTTTTTTTCTAGACAGGTCTCACTATGCAGTTCAGGCTGGCCTTGAACTTACGGCAATCTTCCTGCCTCAGCCTCCCAAGGGCTGGAATTACAGGTGTGCACCATTTCACAAATAAACTGTCTTCTCTAGGCCTTCATTTGTTGTTATATTTCTTAATTTAAAAATAAAAAGAATGAAAAGAGAAAACAAAACAAAAGAACAGGCTTTCATGACAGAAGCTCAGGTTCGGTTTTACAACAGAGCAACTCTGGCGCGCCATGAGTACAGCACGGTTCCGAGTGGGTCCTGGGCCGGGCCTCCCACACCAGGCAGGCAGTCAGGATGCCCTGGGGTGAGGAGCGGAGACCCACGGAGGCAGCGGAGTCTCCCCAGAGGGCAGAACGGAATCTGACTCCTAAATTCTTTCAAATGCATTTTAATTTCAGCTGCTTGCATCTTTCTAGGCACAGACAGTCAGTGTGACTTTTATCTTTAAATCTCATCTTTTCTATTTATATCAAAAGAAAGAAACAGGAGATTTGAGAATAGCAATGCAAACACCAACTCCAGAATCACTCAGGCAGAGATTGTTTTGGTTTGTCCCATTCCCCCACCATAAAATAAAAACTTCACTCTTCCAAATTGCTAATTTTAATGCCTATTCAGGTACAGGCATTCCCAGAGCACATATCCAATTATAAAAGTACAAACAAAGTGTACATTTATTTTCACTGAAAGCCTTTAATTGCAAATATATATTCAACAGTGATGACAGGAAAGCTACGGTATAAAATGCACCCACCAACTGTAAGATATTTCTAATTCTTTCAACGTGTCAACAAACATACAAACCTAGAAAAAAATATCTTTTCAGAACTAGAAAGTCTAAATATAGTACCCCTGTATTTAAAATGTGATACTGAAAAATGCTAGTGTAATAAAAATATTTGGTAATAATTGAAGTACTCTACTAGTTACATTGATTCATAATCTAAACACATGTTTTTCCACGAAAAATACTTACTTGAATGGCAGGTTGCATGGCCATCTGTGTAGATGAAACTGCTATCCTGAAAAAGAAACAGCACATTAACAAGCAGACCATGAAGCCTCCCCCTCACTCCTTGGGGGCCGCATCACAAGGTTAGGACTGCGCTTTGCTTTTCTGTCTGACAGAGAACCGAACACACACACACACACACACACACACACACACACACACACACTCTCTCTCTCTCTCTCTCTCTCTCTCTCTCTCTCTCTCTTTTCAAATCAGGTTAGTTTGGTTACAAAAGAATGCCACAAGGACTCCTTACTTGTTACCTCCTTTGAAAGAGGAAAACTTCAACACACTTTAAATACACTGTTTCTGTTACTGGTATCAAAGTAATTCCTGAAGTATCTGGCCAGTAGGATAAAATTAACAATAAAGCTTAGCTCACATGATAGCCTCCCAGGGTTGTTTTCCTCTACAAATATGACATAAACACTAAGTGAATGTAAGTATTATAAAACTGCAAACGCAGTCCAAGCACCTCTCATCTGACCTCCACAGCCGTGAGGGAAGCTTACTCGTACTTTGTATAAATGCACAAGTTTCACCTTAAGCTTTTCATGTTACACAGCAAAGCAATGAAGAAATTCAACTTGAACAGTGAAACAAAAATATTCAGTGCCTTCTGATAATAATTTCAAAAGACAACAACAACAAAACAAAACCTCTCAATTTCAGCTCCAAGGTACTATTATTGAAATCCACAAGCAAAGAAAAACAATTAAATGGTTGGTGCAATTCTCTAACATGTTTGTAAAAGGTTTAAAAATCCTCCAAACGATTGTACACTACACAAAACATCAGGTTATTGATTGCTTATAGCAACATAATAAATTCAGGTTTTTATGTTTTGGCTGAAATAGTCTAAGAAAAAAACAAGGCCATTTATAAGGCTCCAATGCTCCCAGGTTCCAAGGAGAAGTTCCATGAGACGCACCTCACGCACACTGCCCGTGCATCCAGGGACCATCCTGAACCTGAGCTGAACCTAACTGAAGAACCTGGTGTCACACCACATTCTCTGCGGGAAGGCAAGGCAACAGAATGTCCTTTCTGATGTCATTTTGCCTTCTCTTCCACAGCAAAAGGCCAGAGGACAAGGGAGCATTACTAACGGGCCTGTTCTGCTTCCCACGGGCCAACTCAGCGGGGAATACATTTTCCTTTAGCATAAATAACCCTTTGTCCCCAACAAAGACCCACAGTAAGGAGCTTCCGAGTCCATTTTTTAAAAATGCAGCACAGAAGCTGCCCCTATGAAAATGGAGTTCCTCATGCTCAGACAAGAGCTATAACAGCTGGAACTGCCACCCGGCACAAAAGACGGCCCAAATTATAAGGCGTGTACAAGCCAGAACAGTGACACATTCACAAAGGCGCTAGCGCAGGAATGCCCAGCAGTTGCACTTCTAACAGAAAACTCAACAAAATGAGTTTTATGAAACAAATGAAGAATTTGTGAACAATTTAGGTTACTTGAGTTGCGGCAAAAGTCTTATGTATATTTTTGAATCATTCTGTAATAGAGCTACTTTTAAAATGACAAAAATGTCAGCATTACGATTATCTTTAAAAAGGAATTCTTTAAAGAACACTCCTATAGATTATAACAATATCCTCGAAGCCGGGCCTGGTGGTGCACTCCTGTAATCCCAGCACTCGGGATGCTGAGGCAGGAGGATCATTGCAAGTTCCAGACCAGCCTGGGCTACAAAGTGAGCCCACGTCCAGCCTGAGCCACACAGTAAGACCCTGTCTCAAAAAGACAAAGTATGTCGACCCTCCTACAGTAAATACATCTCTATGTGTTTTGTTGGAAAACTTATATAAATGGCCGATGTACTAGTGAATCCTCAGTTACTCAGGGCGGACTCCCTCTGTCCGGAGGTCAAGGGTATCTCAGTCATTCACTGTTCTCTTTGCGGACCAGCTTTGTGTCTCAGGCCTCGTCAACGAGAGCAGCCCTGGTGATGCCCAGCCGCGGTGGCACTAGGAAAGCACTCTTGCTTCTCCTTTTACTATCTGTTTGCATTTCTGTCTTTCTCTAAAAGTCACAGCTTAATTTTTTCATGTAAATCAATTATACCGCATCATTAACACTTCATTTCTGGAGCTACATCTTAATCAGCTTAATTGGCAGCTTTCTGGGGCCTTATTTTTGCCTTTGCTTTTGTCTTTCGCCCTCTTTGGAAAAGTCTACTTTAGCTCTCTACCAACCACAGAGGGGCTGGGGAAAGAACTCGGCATTCACACTACGCTCTAACCCCACGGACCCTCACGGCGGCCACGCAGATCCCAAGAAGGCTACACGCGTCCGGGGAGATGCGCGTCCACCTGAAAGGCGGCCAGCACTGGGGCCTAACCCACCCAGCCTGAAAGGGGCGGTTGCTGTCATCACAAATAACACAGTGGTTATTTACAGTGAGGCTCTTCCTTATAATTTGGCTTACACGGGGGAGAAAAAGCCACCCTGTGGAACCAACCCTCCTCTCTGGGCTGTAGGCTCCACAGCTGGGGTAACAGCAGCCCGGTTTCACTGCCCTCCACGTCATCAGCCAAGCGTGAAGCAGGGCACTCAAGGCATCAAGGCTCACTCTGATGCAAGGCTGAGGCCATCAGAAAGCAGGAAAAAAGCACCGAAGCAGAGTAAGTTTCCTTAGGAAAAATATCACATTAACCTAGTGACTACTCAGCCAGTACTGACAAGACACGCAGCTGCAAGGGTACGACAGAGACCACAGCTGGACGGGGACGTCAAGGCGGAGAAATGCCGAGGGGCCCTCTTGATGGAACCAGCACTATTTTATACCACACTAAGGGGTGAGAACAGAGGTACTTTTATACTGTCTGTCTGTACATGTGCCAAAGAATACTCAGTATTTATAATATGTCCTTTAGAAAAGTTGGAAACAAATAATCTTGCTTACTTATTTTTTTTTTAAATCTTTTAAGCTCTCAGCTTTAAAACTTTGAGTTAAGCTGGGCATAGAGATGCACACCCGTAATCCCAACACTCAGCAGGCTGAGACAGGAGTATCCCCATCAGTCTGTGGACAGTTTGGGCTACAGAGTTCAAGACCAACCTGAATTATACAAGGAGAACCTGCTGGGGGTGGGGGGAATTATGACAAATACTTTCTAATTGCCTAACACAGAAAACAGAAATGCTATATCCATACCAGACATGTTTCATAGATTTTAAAATGTGGACTATCACAACTTGCCACAAACAACACTGGGGTAGCCGAAGGTATCAGACACATCTGGCACACATCTCATTAATAACCTTGCAGGGCCTCAGTGTACTCAGCTGACAAATGGGATGTCACCGCCTCCCTCACCTGGCTGCTGTAAAAATTGGAGATGAGACAGATCAAGTACCTGATTTACAACTGGCACTTAAGAAACGACTTGTAATTCTATGACCTGCCATGGTTACAGTTCATTTAATATAATTTATCAAACTAAAAATACTCAGACATCACTAAATATAATTCACAGTTTCTTTTACTGGTATAAAACTAAGCGTGGCTATAGGTGAAGGCAAAAGTCTTCAGAAGCCAACATCATAATCAGAACTCAGAATCTTACTAAGATTCTCTTTGCGCGGATGAGTCTTCGCACACTCAGGTCCACGTCGGCCTTTTGCTCCCTGCAGCCTTACTGTTGAGGCTCGGCTGCTGCTCAAGCTGGACCCATTTTCACGCGGCAAACACTCACTCAGCAGCATTTATTCGTGCCCTCCACTGACCCCAGCACCACAGGTGAGAGCCAGCGGGGGACAGAACAGCCACGCGCTGCCCTGCGGAACCCACGCACCGGTGGAGAGAGCTGGAAACAGCAGAGACACAAATGAACGCACGCTGCTAAATCGCCGTGGCTGATCTGAAGGCGCGCACAGTCTCAAAAGAGAAACAGCAGGCGCCTGCTTCAGGCTTAAACTGAAGGAAATAACCTGCTGGAGGAAAAGCATCAATTTGAAGAACGGTAGGAATCGACCAGAGAAAGAAGAGCTCCATGACTTTTTGCAAAGGCTCGGCACACAGAAAGCATCGGGCACAGTCACCAGTGACACTATCGGACGGGGACATTTGCATGTCACCATTTCTAATTAACACATCGTCATCATCATTTACATGCATTGGGATGATACGTGATTTTGCCTCTCCCTCAATATGTCCAAAGTAAAGTATGTCTGCCAATTACCGGTCAAGGTACCAGCAAGTCACATGAGCAGGCTCATATCCTCATATTCCAGAGGGCTCACTAAGGAAAAAACCAAGAACAACTGAAGCTAACTTGAGGCACAAGTTCCAAGAGAATGGCTGTGCTCAGGGGCAAGGGCTCTGACCACTTCTAGCCTCCGGCAGTGATTCAACCGGAATGACCTAACGTTACATTAGATACAATTTTTAGTTTGTCATACAATGGGACATAAAGTTAAAAACAAGCTTAAAACCAGTTTGCCTATACACACATACATATATACACATATAACTAACAGAGACAAACACAGAAAACATACAGAACACCAACGTAAAGAAAAGTGAGAGCAATATTTAATACCATTACGAGAGAACTGCTCAACTAGTGTCCTGGACACTCCGCCCCTGCACTAGGCCCCTCTGAAGAGTGGGCCCGAGCCATACTCCCCGACGTACAGACGTATCTGCTATGTTATGGGAACCAAGCAGCCAACAGAACAGTGGCTGTAATGTGACTGACACTGCGGTGTTTTGTAAATTAGATGTGTATAAAAAAACAACAGATTTTGAACACTTTTTGCTGACAACCTATTTTTAGTCAGGAAGTCAGGAGTAAAGGAGTAGCTAGCTCCAGGGTGAGGTGAGTACCCAGCATGTGTGAGGTCTGGGAGTCAGTCCCCAGCACTGCAAACAACAGGTGCGTGTGTATGTGTGCGTACGTGAGCACATGTGCATGTGTGTGCATGAATAAGTCATACAGGAAGAGGAAATAGGGACGTTATGTTTAACACTTGATACAAAGTGAGCCTTCCCCGGAGATAATGGTACGTGGTCCTGCAATGCACTCGTGTGGGGTGGCAGCAGTTAGAAATCTCTGGGGTCAGCATGTCTAGCAGAAGACTAAGGCTGCACCCCACAGAACCTCCCACGCTGTCAGCAGCAAACATACACTTAGTGTAGCCACCACATTCCAGTCCTGTGGAAAGCTGTTACTCACTTAGGAAAAGAGGTAACTTTCTATTAAACAATATACCCTACTCTGAAACAATGTAATAAATTGAGAAAACTTTTTAAAGATTTTTAGGAGAAACACTAAAGAAATACAATTGTAATTGTTGTCTATATGTTCTAATCATTACTTTTGAGGCACTTCTCTATACAGTTAAATTCTAATTAAACGTACAGAAACTAAACATGAGCTAAGCTGGCTCCAGACTGGCCCTTGCTGTTCTCTCCACCCAGTGCTGGGCACCTGGCTTCTTAGGTGTGTGCGGGTGTATAATCCTAGTGGGGAAAGCAGTAAGTAGTAAGTAAAACACCTGCAGAGACTACCGCAAGGAAAATACAGATTGCACATAGTAACTCCATTCTTCACTGATAGCTTCAAAAAATACTGAAACAAGTGAAAGTTTTCCTTAATCTTCTAATGTGCTGAGATATTAAAAAGCAGCATTTTAGCAAAAACAGTGAACAAAAGCTAAGTGAGGACCTTTAAATTAGGGAACATTATTTCTGAACTGACTTTCACGTATCACTGGACTCATTCAGTTTTTACTAACAGCATGCGTGATGTTGACATTGTTCTCTTATCACAAGTTATTTGCCATTACTTTTTAAATTAACAAAGTACTGATAACAAGCCCACTCTCTCAGCAAAAGTGAATGAGACCATACAAACAGCTTAGTCCAGGGGAGCTGTCTAATGATCGAAATACAAAACAGAAGTAGTGATACAGAAGAATCTGAGCGCTGCTTGAAGTGAGATGGTCAGCACTGAATTTTTGGTGGACTTTAGTCTCCATATCTGTGAAAAGAAACTGGGCATGGTGGTGCACCCCTATAATCCCAGCACCTGGGAGGCTGAGGCAGGAGGATTGCCATGAGTTCAAGGCCAGACTGCACCACGTGGTGACACCCTGTCTCAACAAGACACCTCAGTAAAATGCAGACAAAACCAACCGGAGCCCAGGAGTGCTAAACAATAATACAAGTGCAGTGCTTAACACCACGCCAGAACCATCACCACTCAGGCACCGCCTTCACCTTCTGCTTCTTCCCATTTTCGTGGATAGTTTTTAATCCAAGTTTAACACAGGCAAATAATAATCGCTATGAGTCAGGCACCATTTTAAACTAGTTACAGGGATTATTTCCTTTAATCTTCATAACTACACATCAATGTAGCAGGAACTATTATTACTATTATCTCCTTTAATAGGATATTTAGGCTTAGATTGCATGTTAAATAATTTAAATAATTTGTCTGAGTCACACCCACCTGACGTCAGATCCTTCAGGCTTAACAACTCTTTCCAGTATCTCTCAAAAGAAACATTACTTTTAACAGTAATTTCAAAGCAGCAGGCACTTCCCGCTCAGTCAACTAAGTTTTGGGAACTGACGCGTCGCAGGACCGCAGGCACCGCTGCGCACCACCTGCCTCCTGCCGCGAATCAAAGGTGCCCAGAGGCCCCATTCCCAATTCCCTGTGTGTCAGGAGAGGTGATCAGGCCCTGGCATCCCTGCTTGTCTTTAAGAAAGTAGTTATTAACGCCCTGCAGTCGTGCAAAGCAAAATCCCTCACTCTGACCTAGACGAGGCTTGAAAAAAATAAATTTTTAAAAAGTTTTCACTTCCTACAGCCTGGACCGGCTATCCCACCCACTCGTACCTTTGGAGGACTGGGTCTCCGGATGCAAAAAGCCCGGGAAGGAACAGCGGTGACCGCACAGGGCGCCTGCTAGCCAGCGTTTTCCTCCGCCTCCCAGAGCAATCTCAACTCCCCACCCACCAACGCACACACTCCGCACTCCGCCCCTAAGGCGTCCGCTAAACTGAGGGTGTGCGGGGGCAGGGATTGCGCAAGGTCTCGGGAAGCCCCCGGTGGCGTGCTGCGGGAGCTCCGAGCGCTGCGGGACCCGCGAGGCTGCACACAGGGAGGAGAGGAGCCTCGCGAAGGGCGGGATGACTGGGTGTCAACTCTTCTCCCGAGGGCGATCGCGAGCATCCCAGGGAGCCCTGTGCTAGGCGCTGCGGAGGAGAGTGCCTGGGATCAGGCTTGATCGCTCCAGGGACGAAAGCGGGGCGGGCAGCGGCTCCGCACCTGTGCCCCCAGTGCCCCCCGCGCCCCCACGCAGCACCGCACACCTGTCGGTCGCCGGGGCAGAAGGTGGGCACCGCTTCACCATGACAGCGCCGGCAGCCAATCAGATCTCGCGCCCGCCGCACCCAGCCAATGGCAGAACCCCTCCGATCCCGCGACTTCGAATCCCCGCAGAACCTCCACTATGGCTCCCAGACCCCCAGGGGCTCCTGAGGCCTAGCTCTGAGTCGCCGAAGACCCGAGAAGGCTACGGAAAGTTGGCGAGGCAATGAGAAGGCCACCAGGGAGGTACTCACCAGCGCGGGCGCGAGACGGCCACTTCTCCCTCAATCTGTGCGGGCCGCCACGCCCCCACTAACCGCCGCCGCCGCCGCCGCCGCCGCCCGGGTCCCGGGGTTCGCCGCGGAGCACCACCGCCTCTTTCGAAGGGACCAATCAACGCTCTGGGGCGTGGTCAAGTGGGGGCGTGGTCTTAGGCTCCGCCCCGGACCCGCAAGAGCACGGGATCAGCGCGCGCGACTGAGTCAGCTGGGCAATTCGCGACCGGGGTGACTGAACCTCCCTTTTTTTCCTTTTTTTTTCTTGCTTTCCTTTTTTTTTTCTTTTCCAGTACTGACAGTTGAACTCGGGCCTTCTCACTGAGCTGCATCCCCACCCCATTTTTATTTTGAGCCAGGGCGCGTATTGCACTCCTCCTGCCTCGGCCTCCCGAGTGCTGGGGTTTCAGGCGTGCGCCACCACGACCGGCTCCAGCCTCTTCTTTTTGCCTAAAGGCGAAGTGGTTTGGTAGCGTCCGGAGTGCTCGCATCTGATCCCTCAGCGACAGCCACGACTTTCCTATTTGTCCCGCTGGGCAGGAAAAGTTGCTTGAGCCCGGGCTCTGGTGTTGCACGCCCTGGAACTCGGTGGAGCAGAGCTGAAGGGGCTTGCTCTCCAGTTTTATTTCCTTCTGTTAAGAGCCGCTCCCAGCCCTACACTCTTGGCTCCATGACAGAAACTAATTCAACAGGGCGGTTGTCCTAAGCAGAAATCTCCCAGGGAGAGTCCTGTCCTGGAGCCCTGCAGCTCGCATCACCCTGGAAGCTAAAGGGGATGCTCCCTGTGGCTTGTTCCTGCGGGGAAGAAGCTGCCTAAGGCAGGTCTGTCCTCTGCTCCCGGCCCCCAACCTCCTGATGGTTCTGTTACCCTCGTTGGAGCGTGTCTCTCCTGCCCCCAATTCTCCTTCCCTAAATGTGAGCGTTGGGAGGAAAGCAGGGTCTCTCTCTTGGCATTGTTTTCTCCACTCGACGGAGAACGAAGAAACTCGCTGAAGAAACTAAAGTGCTCGCACGGCGGCAGGTGGCAGCTTCAAAGTGCTCAGCAGCACTGAACCAAAGGCTTGGGGAGGTGGTCGAGGTTTGAAGGAGCTGAATTATAAAGGATGAGTAAAAATCTGCCAGAAGGGGGGGATAATTGCGAGTGAGGGGCGCTTTCCAGACAGCAGGACCCCAACAAATGCCAGGTTCAGGAGATGGGGGGCCCAGGATGGTAGTTTTGAATATGCAAAATTTGGGGAAAAGGAGACAGATCAGTCTAGAGCTCTGGGCCACATGATGCACCTGGCAGGTGCTGAGGAATATGGATTTTCTCCTGCAGACAAGCAGGATGACTATACAGTGGAATGGTATGAATGCATTTGTGTTTTAGGGGGAAATCATTTGCAAAGATTTTGAAGATGAATATGATTTTGCTAGGTGGCAATTTCAAGAGCTTAAAGCTGGCAATTATCTAAAGATACTCACAAAGCCTGGGAAGAGGTATCTGGGCTACCCCAGAGGCTGGCTGCCTCCCCTGGCCTGGGTCATTGCGGGGTAGTGTGGCTCTAAGGAATAAGGGGAACCAGCTCTGGAGGGATTCGCACACTTTGATCTAAGATGCATTTTTGTTGAAGAATGAGAGAAACATATAAGTAGAAATGTTCAGAAGATAGTTGGAAAATTTAGGTCTAAAACTTTATTAGGCTGAAGGTATGGATTTGAAAAACTGATTGAACAAATTTTTGTTCTGTCGCTAAGCACAGGCGTGCACCACCACGGTCCCCGGCAATGACTGACCAAAAAGATGGTCTCTACAAGTCAAGGGACAGGAGGAAATTGAGCCTGAAGCCAGACAGTACTTACTCCTCTACTGAAGCCCCAGAACTTGTGTGCAGGTGGCCTGTGACTACAGATAGCTTTTCCAGATCCTCTTCATCGCAAACTATTTCCATTTAAATCTAAAGGACAGTTCATATTACACCTCATAAAAGACAAATTCTGAATTGAGTTGAGACTTTGATGTGAATTTGTTGAACCCTAACATTAAAATATAAACCCCAATCGATAGAACCTCAAAAATAGTCAACCTGTGTTATACAGATCATGTTTGATCAGTCATTGGTTGTCAGTGGCTGTTTTTATTTTTTTCACATGCATACTTATGCTTCATAATTCAGTAGCATTTTAAAAATTGAAACCATGCTGTTTGAGGTCTATATACAAACACAAACCCATACACACACACACCACTTAATATTTTAAATTATTTAGTGAAACCCAGCCACCAGGATAGCTCTGTGGTCACTTTCTTTTTTATTCTCATTGCCTATTTGGTCATTAAAATGTAGGCCAAGCCAGGCATGGTGGTGTGGGTCATCTGTTATCCCAGCACCGTGGTGGACTGATACAGAAGGGTCACAGGTTGAGGCCCAGCCTGGGCAACTTAGCAAGACACTCTCAAAAATTTTAAAGCAAATAAATTTAAAGGGCCAAGGATATAGCTCAGGTCCTGGTTTCAATTCCCAGCACCACAAAAATAAATAAATATTCAAACAAATATCTAGGACAAGAGTGTATAGAGTCAGGAAATTAGGCAACTCAATCTTCTTCAAGGCCAGGCATGGTGGCTCACGCCTGTAATCCCAGCACTCGGGAGGCTGAGGCAGGAGGATTGTTGCAAGTTTGAGACCAGCCTGGGCTACAAAGTGAGTTCAAGGGCCAGCCTGAACTGCATAGAGACCCTGTCTCAAAAAGACGAAAAAAAAAAAAGAGCATTTTTTCCACTGGTTAAATGCATGATTGGTTCCCTGCTGGATTCTTTGAGTCTCGTTGATACCTATTTTATTCCATAGATACACAAAGCTTCTCAACCAGACTTTTACATAAACTCGCCGTCGCCGTGCTCTGCCTCTCCCTAACCACCATGGCCATCTCGCCCACCTTGATTTTAATGCTGCAGCTACTAATTGAGGGGTTGCCTCTAATGAGCTGCAATTACTTTCATGTGTGTGCTTTCTAATGGGTGATTAGGGTAATAGCCATGCTGCGGAGTGTCTCTCTTTTGTTGAAATTGGCACTGCTATAACATGCAAAGCAAGACTCACCAGTCTGTGAAGTCTTCAGCTGAAACTGGCATCAGAGTAATGCATAAAGCAAAACCCATCAGATTTCAACATTTATTCTGACTTCCCACTTGTGAGTATGAGCCTTGCTGTAAGAAAGCACCGAGTTTGGAAGTCTAAATTGTAAAAGTTCACATTAGGAAAAATCCACTCAACTGAAAAAAACCTCTCTAGGGTCTCTGAAAAGCTCAACCTTTGGAGCCTGAAGTGTGATTTGGTTTCTCCGCAGCACTGCATGGACATTTCTGTTGCTCAAAGCACGCTGCAATTAGTTGTTGATTTTTTTGTTTTGCTTTTGATAGGTTTCTTAGATCTTTTGCCCTATATTTTGTTGTTGTTTTGTAATTTTTTTAATTCTTTGGCATCACTGACTGTCAGCCTATGGACTGTGCCTTGTGTGAAAATACAGGCTGAACTCTCTGGGTGACGGAGACCTTAGCTTATTCACAATCAAGCTGCATGTTCAGCTGATGGAGAACCAATCTCACTGAAAACAATACTAAAGTTTCTCAGAGGGCTCTGCTGGTGCGTAGCAGGATAAGTAATTCAAAACAGGAAATAACGATGGTTATTAATACTGAAATGTTGTGTTACGTGTGTGTAATGGGTTAGTGTCTCCCTGAATCCACGTCCATCTGGAACCTCAGAATATGATCTGACTTGGAAATTCTGTAGATTTTTGCAGCTATAAGATAAGGATTGAAGTGAGACCATATTGGATTGGAGTGGTTCCAAAGCAAATGAAATTTCCTTCTAAGAAACAAAAGATTGAGTGTGGTAGCCCACACCTATAATCCTGGCACTTTGGGAGACTGAGGCAGGAGGATCACAAGTTTTAGCCCCACTGGGGCAATTTAGTGATTCAGGGAAAGGTCTCAAAATGTATGACTAAACAAATATGTTAATAAATAATTAGGGATGTAGCTTAGTGTGAAAGCCCTGGGCTCTATCTCCAGTACCACAGAAAGAGACACAAAAGGACGTGTATGTGTGTGTGTGTGTGTGAGAGAGAAAGAGAGAGAGAGAGGGAGAGAGAGAGAGAGAACCATGTGAACATGGGCAGAGATCAGAGCTGTTCAGTAATAAACCAAACACTGCCCAGAGCCATCAGAAGCTTAAGGAGTAAGGGGGGATTCTCTCCTAGAGGCTTTCGAGACAGCCTCACCCTGTTGACAGCCCGATTTTAAGTTTCTGGCCCTGGAACTGTGCAAAACTGGATGTCTGTTGTTTTACCAAGCCCATGGTAATCCCGGAGTCCTGGGAAGCCACGCAGTCTGCATCCGAGGAAAGCCTTAGATATCTGACAGCGCGGCATGCATGACCACGTGGAGACACACTCCTCCACTTTATCTATCAGATGTGCTCTCAAATCTGAACTTTGTAGCTGGAGCTCGGCTCCCACATAAACTGTGTCGTCTCTAATTGTTGTATCTGAGCATCAATCAAGTTTCTATCACGTTTAGCTCCATATGTAGAAAACAAACCCTCCAGTTCATCGGGGAAAAGAAGACCAAGTGGAGAGAGGATGCAATGTCTGTAACCTCAGGCAAAATGTGACCCAAGATTTCAGATCACATCACCAGAATCCAGTCCCAGCTGACTTTGATTTTTACGTTGCCTTTTTTCTCAGATTCCTCTGGCTGCAAGATACTTTCCAGAAGTGCTGGCTCTACATTTTCTTCGTTCAAATCCAGCCCCAAAAGTGAGTAAGTCTGATAATTTGGCTTGGATTAGAAAACTTCAAGGACTCCGGGGGCTTCCCAAAGAAAGGTTTAAACATGAACTTGTTTTTAAAGGAAATGGAGGAGCTAAGATGATACCTGGGAGCAGAGCAGGGGAGGAGCCCAGGAGTGACCAACAGCGGGAAGCCGGAGCCCCGAAGCCTGCACGGTCAGCTCTGAGGCCGGGTCTGCCTGGCGGGTTTAGGAGCCAGGTAGGAGCACAGTCTTTACCAGAGATACCATCTGAGAGGGGGAGACGGAAGCACACCCGCTTCTCTCCTCCCCATTCTCCCGTCTTTGACTAGTGCCTTCCCCTCTGGCCAGGGCCAGCTTGCTGAGGACCCAATAAAACTCAGCCTGGGGTGGAGGCAGCTCTTCCTCCCCGCAGAGCAGAAAACAGAAGAAAATCTGCACGCAAACAGCATCGCTAGGGAGGTTTTTGCTGTGAGCCTCTAGCTTTCAATGGCTTAATATAGTAGACACTGAGGTGTCTCGCTTGGGAATCTGCCGGCTAACTCCTGGCGGGGAGGGAGGGCTTGTGTCTCGAGCTGTGGGTTGCATTTGCGTGTGCCCCTCTGTCCCTTATCCTCAGACTCCAGCATGTGCTTCTCCTGGCAGACGGCAGACGTGCACAGCAGCACGCAGAATCGTGATGTGTCCCAAGGCCTCGGGTCTCAGCGGCCTGTGTCACCTTCCCTCTGCCTTCCATTGCCCAAAGCAAGCCACGCAGACAGGCTTAGTCCTGATATTTCTATTAAGGGAACAGGTGGGGAATTTGGAACAATGTGGCACACACCACACACACACACACACACACACACACACACACACACACACACACTGCTTGTCTCCTAAAGTTACCACAAGGAAAATATCTTACTTTCTCTAAATGGATCACATCCCTAAACCAATCACCAAGATGTGTGACCCCCCTGGTTAGCTATAGAAGAGTCATATTTCCAGTCCGGGGGCTAAAAGTGGAATCAGCTGTATCCAGAACACTGAAGGAGAGCAGGGGGAGAGCCCCCTGAGGAACATGAGTATGTTACCAAAAATAAAGGCAGCGGATTCTATGTAAGTAACAGCTACCCACTAAGGCAACCGACACCCAAATGTGACACAGGACAGTTTACTGTATTCCTGATGGGAAAAAGTAAATCATAATTTTGTAACAAAAATAAAATCTAAGGAAAAGCAAAATTCTGCTTTAGAATCAAATAATGAAATTGGTTTCTAGTTTTCAACAACAAAGAGGACAAAACTCCAAGAATAGTTACTTAAAAAAATGTTACTCATATCTAATATTTGGATTTATTAATAAAAACGATCATCCATGGTATTTGTGCAAACTAAAACACCACCCGGAGAGAAGGATATTGCGGCCAGAAGAAGCTGGAGAAAGAACAGTGCAGCGGCCGTGGCTTTTAGGGTGCAAGGGGGGCTGAACCTTTGTATCTCTGTAGAGTCCACTTGCTGAGATCCTGACCTCCGAGGCAGTAGTCCTAGGATGTGAGACTTTGGGGGTGATTAGGTCACACGAGGCGGTCCCTGGTGAGTGGGATTCAGCCCTTACGAAAGAGACCCCAGACAGCCCAAACCCCAGAGAGCTGAGAGGGTGAGCTCCCGGGTGCCACCCAGGAACCAGGGATAGAGGACTCCGTCCCACACTGGCTCTGTGGTGCCGTGACCTTGGACTTCCCAAGGACAGAAATTTATTTGTTTCTGTGCAGAATGCTGAGGCAGAGTGGTAAGACTGCGATAGGCTGGCAGGAACAGGGTTTCTCATTCCTGGCACAGTTGGCATTTTGAGCCGGATAACCCCTGCCCTCGTGGGTGAGCCCTGCGATAGAAGGGGGAACGCGGCGAGCAGACACAGCTCTGTTCGCCCTTCCTGTCTCCATTCTTCCTTTCTTAGTTGGTCTAAGAGCACAGAACTGTGACAGGCGCCTTTTAGATTCTAGGCAGGGGAAACACAGGGCACGGGAGTGGGGTGGATGAACACTCGCACTGGTCAACTGCCTTGCGAAGGGAGGCTTCCCCAAAGTCAGCGGGGGCCGCCAGGTGGGAAGAGAAGCCACTCGCAGTGTGGAACAAGATTTTCAAATGACAGCATGGCAGACGATCCCCAAAAGGGCCTATCGTCTGTCCTACGGCTCACAATTTAAACTTCATTCTTAAGTTCTTATTTCTCGTTTCCTTTAGATGTACCACAAATTCCACAAATCAGGTTTCAGCCACTGCTGTCAGCTCACTGCATCAAAGCACGAGAGGTTTATAGGAATAAGAACTCGGCCGCACCAGCTAGGGCAGGCAGTCTTACTTAAAAGCAGAAGACACTAACCCCTTCCTGTGGGCCAGCGCTGGCTGTGGGCTGGCCAACCCCATCTGTGGGCCAGTGGCCTGCGAGTGGGGAGACATGAAGTCCCAAAGCCCCCTCCCTCATACTGTCCTGTAACCACCAAGCTGCTCCAGAGAAACACGGGCTGAGGTGACAGCCACGGGCCTAGAACAACAACTTAATGCCTGTTTATTGGACTGACCTTGCAGGCCTAACGCCAATAGTCTGGACATTTATTTAGAGGATAACAATACGCAGTATGGCAACTAAGGGGATCTCCTTCTGAAGGAGGGAGCCATTGTCCATTATCTTCTTTTAAAGTCCTGTATCATTTTCATTTTCATTGGATTCATTTCATTGGATTTTATTACGTCCAATGGCATGGGCAGCTGTTTCAAAGATAATAAGACATACTATGGTAGCCATTGTTGATTTCCTATTATCATGTCTTGAATTCCTGTGTAACTTTCATAGTTTTCTTTGACTGGTTTTATGCTCTTTAAAATAAAAATAAATAGCTACCATTTACGGAGTGCTTAGTAGTGGGTGGGCTGTCTCATAAACTGGTTTTGAAATAATCATCTTTGAGCTTCACTCCAACCCCGTTAGATGGAATAGCATGCTGTCCACACTCTACAGCAGGAGCCTGAGGTTCACAGAGATTGGGGAATGTGGGGTTTTTGTTCTTGGCAGAGCGGTCTCATAGCTCATTGTGGCAGATCTGCCTCTGTGATACTCTTATCTGTGACAGGCATTTTCTCACCTCAGAGATCCTGGCTATGAGGTCTGATTTCAGACTTTTAGTATGCTTTAACTCTTGCTCTTTAGATTTTTTTCTTAAAGTCTCACAAAAATAAAAACCATTACTGATCTGTTTCTGCTCACAACACATCTGACACCAAATGCATGGGGATCTTTTCCACACTAAACAGCAGTCAGTTCTGATGCCAACTGGGTGCCTGTCTTGGTTAGTTTTCTCTCATTGCTGGGACAAAACACCCGACACCCAGAAGGAAGGAAGAAAAGGCTTCTTCAGCTCACTGTCTGTGGAAGTGTCAGTCCACACTCAGCGGGCTCCAAGGCGGCACAGCACTGGGACAACACTTCAAGTGAGCAGTTAGAGCAAAATCGGGCAGAGCAAGCCTCTTTTCCTCCTTTATACTGTACACAGGCCACCCCAACCTCCCTCCAGGGCAGGTGTAGCACTCCCAAATCCCTGTCCTCCTGTGCTCAGGATGAGGATATTTACCAAGTAAAGATCCTGGCCCCCTGCTGAGTTTCTTAGTTAAACTACTCAACTTGACACAGTGTATCAATCATAACAGTGCCTTACCATTCAATTCAATTCTGGTTGGTAGTTCCCAGATTTCGCAAAGGACCCACAGGTTCAGGGGTCAGTCCCACAAGACTGTCCCCATTTTATTTAGTGGTCACAGCTCTCAGGTTAACACTTGTACTTCTGGCCTGGCCAACTGGGTACAAGTTGGAGCACCTACAACCTCTTCTTCAAATTCAGTATTCTAGATTACTTGGAGAATAACTCCCAGAACTCAGGAAGACATTTGACGCAGCATTCTCGATTTATCCAAAAGGGTCCAGTAGTCTGGGCAAATCGGGGCTGCCCACAGCCTCTCCTGCCGACCCCTTTCCAAGCACCTCCACCTGTTCGCCAGCCCCATTTCCAAAGCCCATTGCTAGGGGGATTTAATGGAAATCCTGTTACTTATGTGTGATTTATTCAACCACCGGCCTTTGGTGATCTGACCCAGTCTCCAGCCTTTCTCCCCTCCCTGGGGGTTGGGGATTGGGACCCAAAATTCTGACCCTTTCATGGCATGGTTGTTCCAGCAGCAAATGGCCCCGTCCTGGGTCACCGGGGTGACATATATTAGCTATGATCAAAGCGGGCTTCTAAGGAACTCCAGAATACGCTCCCGTCACTCTGGGTTTCCAAAAGTTCCTAAGCTCTGTGTCAGGGCCTGGGAACAAAGTCTCAATCTGTATTTTTCGTAGTATTGCAATTAGTTTTCCAGATGCTAGGCATTACTGTTTGTGTCTACAGGTCGTACCCACTTGAATAAACCCAGATCCCCAGGACCAAGCTTCCGGCCCTGTCTGCGCTGCTGGTCAGTGCCCACCGCCCACCACTTCCCCTGCCGGAGCCTGTGATCTGGGCTCCTCCGGACCAGCTCTTCCCTTTCAGACATTCCAACATTTCCTTGCGGTCCTCCCTGTTCCTCTTGCAGGTGGGCCTGCACATTCCCACCTGCTCCCATTCATCAGCTAAATCCCTGTAAGCTGGTGTCTCCATCTTTACACTGGTGACACCGAAGCTTCGGGCCGCAGCCGGCCTCCCCCCACCCCAGTCCTTCGGGCTGTAGTGGAAGCTGCAATTCCCCGCTTCCTCTTCCCGCTCTGCCCTCCTGCAGCTTGAACCCCAGGCCTGTGAAAGACGGGGGAATGCCACTGCCCCTGTGAGATGTCCCTGGATCCCGAGGAAGCCCACAGCATTTTCCTCCTCACCCCTTTGAACCCCTTCCAGACAGTTTCTGGGTCCTTATCATCTTCCTGACCCCCATGAGAGTTTAGCAAAAGAATCCTGAACTGGCGGGGCCAGGGCTCGCCGTGCCACTGTTTTCTACCAAATGCAATCCAACCGATGCTAGCCCCAAGTCATCCTTTTTCCAATGGCTAATTATTTTTAGAACTCCAGTATTGTTTTAGTGCTTTAATACAACACACACACACGCACACACACACACACACACACACACACACACACGCAGCAACTCTGCCTGCTAAGCAAGCTCCCTTTTAGCTGACTCCAGGAGAAAGGGAGATACAGGCCCATTACTTCTGGAAGGTGTTTTATTGTCTTTGCCAAAGGGAGAAGAATGCGGCAGCAGAACAATGGAGGAAGGAAATGAACTCATCCCCTTTGCAGGAAGGAAGTGTTGCACAGCTGCGTCCCCAGCTGTGCCGGGAGGATTTTCAAATAGCAAAACCAAATACATTTAAAAATAATTAATTGTGTGCACTGGAGCCACAATGGGCGTTTTTAAGAGAGCTGAGGGGCTTTCACGTCACTGTAGGTATCTGCACCCTCTTGAGTTACACATGCTTTGCCCTAGCCCCCAAGTAAGGAGACAGGGATTGCTTGGGAATATTTTATGTGAAAATTACTAGCTTTTGTGCATGCTATGCTCTCTGAATTTCAAGGCAAGTGGAATGATCAGGGGGCCATTACGAATGAATGAATGTTGCATTTCCCATGGCCTCGCTAGGGATGAGAAAGTGCCACTATGTTTATCTCTGTGTAATCATCCCTACCCCGGGCTCAGTAAGGATGCCTTTCATCGCTTAAAGAAATCTTTGCCAAATTTCACCCCCAAAGAAAAGTGTATTGCCATCGCACTCAGTTTATGGACAAAATTGAACACAACGCTTTAATAAAATACATGCAAAGTGGTAATAGAAAGCACAGACCAGGGTGTTCTCAGATCTGCTGCTAGGACTGCAGTAACAATTTCAGGAGACACACAGGGCACGCCAGGTGGGACGTGGGACTCCCTGAAGCCTTGGGAAACACGGTGGAGGGACAGTAATTCCATCTACTCCCCTATTTACAGTTCTAGAAGTTACATAATTACTACATCAATTGCATCGGGATTCTTGAGTGACACCAGGCACAGTCGAAATAGAGCCAGTCGAACATGGGGTTTATATCACACGGGGACAAAGGAGCCGGACCTGCCGGTGGGCTCCTCACTGCACGTCCCAGACCTCGCACAGGAGCGGGGTGAACTTGTGGTCGTTCACCCTCCAGGACATCAGCATCTCGGCGTGGTGGTGGTTGAAGGTCCGCAGCTCCGTGAGGCGCCCCAGCAGGCAGGCGAAGTGCTGAGGGTTCTCGGGCTGGTGAATCTTGCACAGCTTCTGCAGCACGTCCAGCAGCGGCTCCTGGAGCTTCTCCACCGCCTCGCGGTCCTTTATGTACTGCCGGTCTGTCGCGCGGTTTTACGTAAAGGGACAAAAAGTGGAAAGCATTAACCTGGCAATGCCCGCTGTTTATGAAATGACGTTTATAATTAATATGCACACACATGTATCTACGCATTACAAGAGTGTTTTTTCAATATAAATTTTCAAGACTTGTGAACAGACTTCTGAAGAAACATATTTTTAAAAAGACAGTGTGCTCTATTATGCTATAAAATATGTAACCTCATTCATGCCCACCGCTTAGAAACCCTTCCTTCACCACTAATTAAAACAATTCCTCCTGGCTGGGTGTGGTGGCGCATACCTGTCATCCTACCACTTGGGAGACTGAGGCAGGAGGAGCCCAGTGAGTTCGAGGCCAGCCTGGGCTTCATAAACGAGTTCAAAGCCAGGTGGCACCACATAGCAAGACCCTGTCTCAAAACCAAACAAAACCCTCCTCCTGCCAGTGTCTTTGCCTGTTTTCTTACCAGTATGTTTTTGTAGCATTTGACACCCTTTGAATACTTCTGCTCCTTCATTACTATGGTCTACCCTCCTGGGGTCTGACTCCACCATCCCAGTGCTGGGACCCAGGCTCAGCGCCTGCGTGCGCTCACTGTGCGTCTCCTCAAGGCCGAGGGCAACTCGCACCGTTCTCTGGCGTGTTAACCATGGTTCAGTTCCAATGGTGCAAGTTAGGCCTTTGTACTTTTTTTTTAATCTTTCTGTGTTTTCCAGATTTTAACAAGTAATATTACTATTCTGTGGAGACAAACAGCATGAAAACAAAAACGCAGCATTGCAATTACCTGGAGACAGGATAACAATGGCCGTGAGCAGGGCGTACTCTTCTTGGGTCATTTTCAATTCTCCAACACTTTTATAAAAGCTAAACATGGGCGTGATGTATTCGTCAGCAATACCTAGGTGGAAACGTTGAAAAATGGCAGAGTTAGAGTAACACTTTCAAGCAACTGCAAAGTGTAAGACTAAAAACAGACATGCGGATTAGATACCCCTAACCCCCAGATACACACCTTCAGCTAACGACTGCAAATTATACGCCTTGGCCAAAGGCAGACATTGCAAAGGAAAACAGTTACCAAAATCCTCAAACGACAGCCTAGCCATGAATTGTACGCCTCTGATTTCAACGGTGTCTGTTTGAGCCACGCTGTCTGACAGCGGATTGTCGCACTCTTGGACCACCAACCAGGACTTCACCATCTACTTGGGCCTTTGTCTTTACAATGTTAATATCTATTACAGCATCTTAGATAACGAAAGAGTTGTTTTCCAGCCCGGCAGTACAAACAGCGCTGTCTGACAAATACCCCAGGCTTTCTGTTTAATCGAAGGGTTCTGATGTCCAGCCGATGTGCCACCTGCCTGCCCAGTTATCCACTAGGCTTCAGCGCTTGGCTCCTATCTCCAGGTTCTGTGTGTCCAAGATCAAAGACACTGTGAGAAAAAGCCGAACCTTTCCCTTCCCACCCACTCTTCCCGGAGTCCCCTGCTCAGTGACAGGGTCCTCCTCCTCAGGCTTGCACAGGCCGGCAGCTGAGGTCCTGGGGCCCAGGATCGTGGGTTCTACCGCTCACCTGCTCGGTACCCCTCTCCCCTCCACGGGTCCTGGGCCTGACGAAGTTTAAGCTCCCATCTCTTCCCATCTGGGGTTCCTGCCCTGGCCCCCTCACTGGTCTTCCTGCCTTCAGTTTGTTCCAGTTCAGCCCATCCTCTTACTCAGATGCTGAATGGCCTTTTTAAACCTCAAGTGGCCCACCCCACCCCACCTCACCCCACCCCGCCCGCCCGGAAGCCTGCAGACCTTTAACAGAACGCCACCCACTTAGGTGTCAAGTTTTACCTCCCTGCCTTTGAAGTTGCCCTCGCCTCTCTCACCCCCACGGGCAGCACACAGGAGTGGGTGTTTACTGAGCACTCACTACCTGTTAGGCACCCTTCCAAGTTCTTCGAAGGCTGCAGTTACTTTCACTTTTCGAACACCCACTTTGGTGTGCATGGAGAGGTGCGTGTGAACTCGCCCAGCGCATTCAGCTAATGGCAGGAGGGGCCAGCACTCAAAACCAGCTTTGATCGTCGCTAGCTGCTAACAAGCTGTTCCGTCCATTTGTATCCTCCATCTCCCCCTTCTAGCTTGCTGCTCTTTATAACTGAAGACTTCTGAGTGCCTTCCTCCAGCCATTGAGCCTGTTATGTGCGGAAGAGCCTCTGGCTGGGCAGTCAGGAAAGCTTCCAAAGCCTGGGATGGGACTCGGGGATGAACTGAGTTTCCCACGATTGGTCCAGATGAAAACAGACTGCTCTGTTCCTCCCCTAACCAGATCTAAAAGCAAGGAGATTGGCTAAACCAAACCAGAAGAAAACTTGAGATAATCATGCGATTATCAAGCTGGGCGCAGGAGCTCTCACCCGTAATCCCCGCACTCAGGAGGCTGAGGCAGGAGGTTACTAATTTGAGGTCAGCCTGGGCTACACGGCAAGTTTAAGGCTAAAGCTGGGCTACATCTCAAGACCCTGTCTCAGAATGAAACAAAGCAAGACAAAACAAAAAGACTGCAATCATCATCTACCTTTCAACTTAACTGAAAGAGATTTTATAAGAAATCCTAACTCTTCTCCTTTAGAAGAGTCCGAGGATTCTTCCCAAACTGAGCCCTTCCCCTTCTCTCCTGCACTCGGCAGATCACACTCTTCCTGCTTTGACTTGAGCTTCTTAACCGACCCTGGCGGGCTTCCTGAGCCTGGTGGAACAGCGTGAGGCCGACATCATGCCCACGAGTGCCCCCTATCCACCGTCACCGAGTGAGCTGAGTCCCTCTGACCAAATTAGATGCAGGGGGTTGGAGGATTTGAGTCTGGGAATATTGATCCTGCCTCCCCCGAAATAGTGGTCACGATGCTGGCATCTAATGTCACTTACAGTAAGTTACATACTGCATTATTTCCCCTATATGTGAAACCCAAAATATGAATAAATTGAAGAATCAAATAAAATAAAGTCAGACTTTCTGGAAACAGGGCGTGACCCCAGGAAAGAGGCTCAGGTTTGGGGATTGAAAACAACCAAGATAGGTTACATATGTGAACCAGCTCTCCAAGTGATTGTACCGATCACAGAGTACGGAAAACACACAATAAACATCTTTCTAAAAAGTGACTGTGAACCATTTCTGAGTTTGAATACTTTTTCAGCTTTAGCGTTTTCATCTGTGATGTAAATTATATAACAACAGCATTAAAAGAGAAATACAGAGAACACCTTGCTCTTGGCTGGCTCAGAGCAAACCCCCAATAAATATTAGAGCAACTAATCAGAATAGTTATTCAAATGGATTGAATTAACAAACTAGCTCATCTTCATTTCAGCTCATTTTAATTTTAAATTAAATTTATGTACTTTTGTCTGTGCAAAGTTATCTTCACTTTAAAAAAAAATCATCTGCATAGTGCAGGAGATGGGTACCAAGAGCTGACCGGCAATTTGCCTCAGTAAAATACTAAAATCTGTATTTTCTTGCTAAGGTTTCCTTTTTATTTTGAGACCTAGTAGTCTTTATGCTTTTTACAATCTGTTGTAGTTACCTAAAATAATTCATAGCTATGCCATAACTTTAAATAGTACATGACATTTGGAGAAAATATTCACGACAGTTGATTTGAAACTGTTCAGTGATCTTTAATTACATAATTTCCTACTTAGTTTGTATTTCTAAATCTTCCATTAGTTTTCTTATTATAATTGATAACGTTTGCAAAAAAATTAGGTTAAAATCTTAATAGGACTTTCATCTTGTGCATATTATAAACGTCAAGAATAAATGCATAGAAAAGGTAGAAACCATGCACAAGTTTAAAAAAATAATTTCCCTACAGGACAGGTCAACTATGACTATGTCTTGGGAATGAGTCAACAATCATAATAACACACCAGCCTGCCACGGGAGTGTTGTGTTGTTTGTGCCATGGGAGTGTGTGTTGCTAACACAAGAAGTGTAACAGCAGTATCGTCCTGCAGGGGGCAGCCTTTTCCTGTTTTCCCGCCGCCTCTTCCTGCACCTCGGTTAACGTCTCCTTCATTTTTACACTCACCACCAATGAGCTGATTTTCGGTCACAAGAGGGCGCTATTTTCTAACCCAGCTACAAAGACAGCCTTGGAAGAGTTTGAACTCAGAAAGAAAAGAGAAAAAAATTACAGGTGTCTCTTTTTGCTCCTGTTTCTTATTTCTTTCTCTTTTTAGAACGAGTCCTGTGATTGATGAATTCATTGCTCAGTGATCATAGTCCCTCACAGAGTAAGCATTTGACCGGATCAACACTGTCCTGTTTTAACTTTATTTCCTAACTTCCCATCTTAATTAGAAACAAAAGCAAACAGAGCTGCACTGATGTGTGAGTGCTGTTATACACAAGGTCGCCTCCTGTACAGTAGACACGTTTCCTGGTGCTGTCTCCACTTCTGGGTTATTCACTGTAACTGATGGCCTCCATATGGACTGAGCATCTGCTTTACAGTGACACTGTGCTGTCCGGCTTAGGGCCGGCAGGGACCAGCGTGCTTGCAGCCCATGAGATCCACAGGGCTCTTGGGAAGCTCCTAGGAGAGACTTCCACACTGGGGGGCTCGGAAGAGACCGCCTCCCTCCTCGTCCCCTTTGACTGCTGTCACGTGAGGAGGTGACGCCTGCAGTGGCCGAGGCCATGAGAAGACCCGGCAGAGGACGTGGCTCGGGTTAAAAGCACTGCACCAAGGCCAGCCGCGCTAAGGTGAGGGGGAGCCGAGCTGCCGAGGCCCTGAGGGGACGGTTCTTCACCGTCTTTCCTCTGGGCTTCTTGCTGAGCTCACACCTCTCCTGGCTTCTGAAATTAGATCATCAGCCTGGGACACTGACAGCTCCACTGACAGATGAGACACTTCCTGGCATGTTCATGCGTCTTCCTCTGAAATACGCTGCAGCATACTTAGTAGGGGAAGGCGATCACTCCCCCCTCGCCCAGTTCCAAGGCCGAGTTTAGATTTTCTTTTTCTTTAGAGCTTTCCCTGTCAGAGTGTAGCAGAATGAGTCGTGGGGTGCAAGTGGGGGGCACTGGGGATTGAACCCAGGACCTCACGCGTGCTAGGCAAGAGCTGTGCCACACAGCTACCGTGTGAACCTTTTTAAGTTTACTGCTGAGACAGGGTTTCAGGGTGCCCCGGCTGGCCTCAGACTTGTGATCCTCCTGCCTCGGCCTCCCTCCGGAGCAGATGGGATTATAGGGGTGCTCCAGGCTAATTAGCTGCTTTCTTCCCCTCGTTCCATTCTATCACACGTCTCACAAATCGTATCTCTCCCTCTCCATGGAGTATGAAATACTATATACACTTCGTGAGATCAGGAACCAGCTGGCCATCCCCAGAGGACAGCAGGTGTACTATGCTGCCTGCCTACAGAGACAGTTTCATGGGTGACTCCATTCACCTGTGTCTCTCTCGTAATTAGCATCCCGCTGAGGTAAGCAACCTGTGCTAAGGCACACAGTCCGAGTTTTGCTAGCTCCTGGGAGGACAGATGACACAGGCTGAGCTGTGCTGGGGTAGGAGCCGTGGTGAAGACAATGCGACGTCTCTGTGGTGTTACAGAGCGTTTCCGCCACTGAACTCCACCCAGTGGGCCATTAATTCCCACACTCTTGGCTCTAAGGGGGAGAAAAACTTGCCATCAAACCAGCAACTGAAAAATAAACCACTTTTAATATAAAATATCTCATAAAAATAACATGCTTCTTATTATTCTCAGTGGCTGAAAGTTACCTGGGCAAGTTAGGTCGCCCGGGTGCTCGGCTCTGAGCTGAGTTTGTCGCATCCCCATCCATCTCAGGACCACATACATAACCTGCCAGGCAGCAGGCGGTGCCAGAGG